AGTTTATTCTTAAAAGTAAAGGGGTTGTAATAAATTTATTTAATATAATATATCTAAGTATTTAAAATATATACTTTTTTATTAACTATATTAGTTAAACAATTAGTTTATAATAGTTATTAAAAAGGGCTATTTTCTTATTAAAGTATCCGCTTTATATTATTATTATATTAATTATTAATATACTATTCTTTTTAATATAACTTTTAATAATAAAAAATATTTAAGCTTTAATATTAAATAGTCCAATGATTATAGTATTATATAGGGTTTCCCTAATTTATATAGCTATTTTAAGGGTTCCTCTTATATAGTTTTTTATTTAAAGTAGGCTAATTCTTATATTTAAAATCTTATAAATTTTTTATATTAATTTTTAAATTCCTATATATATATTATTAATAAAGATCGATAGGAATATAGATTTTAGTATTATTTAACTATTAAGCTTATTTAGCTTATCCTGGTTATTAATTTGGAAGGTTTATATATTTAGTTATATTTAAATATTCTTTTTTCCGGATATTTTTCCTATTTTAAAGGCTTAAGAAGCTATAAATTAAAATATATTTAGGAATAAATTTAAAAGTTCTCCTTAAGTTAATTTTACTTTAGCCTTTATTAAATCTTAGATCCAATTTAAAAATACTTATTATTATTCAATTTCTTAAATAAGTTTAAATATTTCTATTGTTATACTTTATAGGTTACTCTTTCCTTTAAATATTAATTATTAAATATTCTTCCTAGTATTTTTTTTATAAGTATCTTTTATTTCGTTAATTTATTATTGTTTTATAGCTATAATATTAATAATTAGGTTAATATTAAAAATCTTTATAAATATTAATATAAATAGCTTTAAATTATTTTTAATAAATTATTTATTTATTACTTTTAATATAGTATACCTTTTTCTATCCTAAAATTTTATTTATTTAGTATATTTAAATTTAAAATAATTCTTATATTTTAGGATTTTTATACCTTTTTGTCCTATATAGACGGAATTTATTTAGAAGGCTATAACTAATTTAAGCAGCTATTCTTTTTATATTAATTGCTTAAAAACTAATATTAGTTCTTATAGCTAAATTATTTTTAATAACCTTACATTTTTAATGGGTCCAAAGTTTACTTATATTATTTTCTATTTAAAAATAAGGTCTTTTATAAAAAATTTATATTTATATAAAATTTAATAGGTACTTTTAATAATAGGAAAGTAGCTATTAATAAAGTTATAAAAGATTTAAAATAGTATAAGTATAATATAACCTTTTCTATTAATTCCTTTTACTATTTTATTTTAATTAACTATAAGGTATTAAATATATAATAGTATATTAAGAGATTTAATATATAAAGCCCTTTTTTTATTTATAATATAAAAGGCTTTATATAAATAAGCATTATATATAATTAGGCAATTTTATATTTAATAATTAATATTTTTATATTTATAATAGTTAAAGTTATTAGGTTTATTATTACCGGTAGAATTATATTTAATATTATATTTATTAGGATTAGTAAAGCTAATATACTTATTATTACTTTAGGTATTATTTCTTTTATAGGGTTTAGGTTAACGGATTTAAATAATATATATATATATTTATTAATTATTAATATTTTAGCTTTATTATTAATTTACTTTTTATTATTATAATTAACTAAAAGATATATAATATTAAATCCGGTTTATTAATAGTTATAATAGTTTATTAATAAATTTTATTATTTATATAAAGTTAATAGATAAGCTTTAGATTTATATAATTAATTAATTAATATATAGGTTTCCTTAAGTTATTAAGGCTAACACTATAGTATTACTATTTATAAAGTTTAATAATAATACTATTATAAGGGGAAAGGTTTAATAACTTTTAATAATTAAAGATATAAAAGGATATATAGGGGTATTTAACGATTAATAATTAACGTTTAAAATAATTATTAATATAATAAAGCTATTTTAAAGTTAAAAAAATGCTTTAATATTAGCTTATCCCTTTAATATTATTAAAACTTCTTTATAACCTTTACTTTATAATTTATCCTTAATAATTATATTATAAATTAGGATTTATTATAATTAATTAATAGGGATAGCTTTAATTAAATTATATATATAAAAAACCTTTAAAATAAAGGGAATTTTTTCCTTTAATTTAATAATTATAATAATATATTAAAAGAAGAAACGGATATAATTCTATAGGGTTATACATCTTTAAGTAAATAATTATACGAATTATCTTTATTTAAATTAAGTTTATTTCGAGTTATTAGCTTTATATTTACTTTTAAGGATCCTTTTTACTTTATTCCAATTTATTATAAAATTAATTAAATATTAGATTATATGCTTTTTAATTGTTATCTTTATTTAATAAGGAAGTTAATTAACCTATTCTTTAAAGAAAAGTTAATAAAATTTAAAAAGCTGCTTTAATCCTTTAAATTATTTTATAACCTTATTACTATTAAAAAGGTTTTAAGGGTATAAAGCAAGGTTAAAAATAAAAAAGCTAATAATATAAATAATTATAGGAATAGGCTTCTATAGAATTATTATTTTATAAAATAATAAATCCGGGAAAGTAGATCTTTTAATTTTTAAGTTATTTAAAATAATATTACTAGGTTTATTAATTAAATAATTGCTAATAGGTATTAATATAGGCAATATTATTTAAATTTAAGGATTTTTATTTAATAATATAGGGAAATTAAATAAATAAAATAGTTTTAGTTATAAGTTTATAATATTATAAAAACATCTTTTATAATAGTTTAGGGAAATAGAGGTAATAAAGACTTTTAAAATTAAATATAAAGGTTCAACTATTTTGTTTTTTATTATTTACTTTTTATTTTTTTATTTATTCGTATAATAAGGTAAGAGTTTGCTTGACTTTATTTATAAAGGTTTATATAATATTTTATAAATAGTTAAGCTGGTTAAAAAAACTTAGTAAAATAAGGAAAGAAAATATAGATTATAATTTATTATTTTTAGGTTAATATTTATTAATAGTTTAATTAATAATTTCTCTTTAAGTTATTTTTAATTTATAAGCTATTTTAATAGGCTTATATTAATTTAATACTTTATATTATTTCTTTAATTCCTATATTTTAAGTAATTTTATATAATAAGAATTAAAATAATTAATAAGGCGTTATATTTAAATAGTAAGATTTAAAAAATAAAAAAGAAAGCGGTAAGCTTTTTAAAGGCAAATATTTAATATTTTATTTTTATAAGCTTTATTAGCTAAAGTATTAATCTTTCGATTATAGGTTATACTTCGGGGAATATTAAACATTTTTAATTTTATTTACCTTATTAAGGATATTAATATAAAGGGAGCTAAAGAGGGGGATAGTTAATAGGTAATAATAATAAACTAATAAACCTATAACTTTTTATTAAGAATTATAAAATAATATATAAAAAGCTTTAATTAATAAATATAAAAGGTAAGGCAATATATATTCTTTAAGATACATTATAGTTTATCTATTAGGTCTCCTTTATCTGGCTTACACCGGGGCAACCTATGTTTTATATATATGAAAGTAACGAGAGAAATCAAAGTAAAGCATCCGCCATACTCTTTCTTCCATAATATCTATGCCCCTATTCCTAGCCCTGTTACAATAGGAAGTTAGTTTACCTTTATTAACTTAGGAGGAATATCTTTATTTAAATTCCTATCTTAATTAATTAAAGTATTCTTATTTAAGTTTTAATTAAAATCTAATATTAAACTTAAAGGGAAAGGAAAAGCTATTAAATTAAAATTTAATATTAAATTTAAAGGGAAGGAAAAGGCTATTTATATTAATAATATATAAGATATTATAAATAATAACCTAATAATAAATAATAGTTAAAATAGTAAAATATAAATAGGATTTATATATAATTTTATTAAATAGAAATCTTATAAATAGGATAATTTAAGATATAAGTAAAATAATCCTTATTAAAGTTTAAAATATATATATAATTTTACTAAATAAAAATTTTATAAGTAGAATAATTTAAAATATAAATAGGATAATCCTTATTAAAGTTTAAAATATATATATAATTTTACTAAATAGAAATCTTATAAGTGGAATAATTTAAAATATAAGTAGGATAATTTTTATTAAAGCTTAATATATATATATAATTTTATTAAATAAAAATCTTATAAGTGGAATGATTTAGGATATAAGTAGGATAATCCTTATTAAAGTTTAAAATGTATATATGATTTTATTAGATAGAAATCTTATAAGTAGAATGATTTGGGATATAAGTGGAATAATCCTTATTAAAGCTTAGGATTTATATATAGTTCTACTAAATAGAAATTTTATAATTAGGATAAGGTAAAATATAAATAGAATAGTTATAGGATACAAGTATAATGCTTTTTATTAAATTATAGGATGAAATATTAAATTGTAGAATAGGATCTTACGATCCTAATTTTAGCCTTATATAATCTTATAATTCTAGCTTTAGCCTTATATAGGCGTAGGCGCCCAGCTCGATAGGGGGACCAATTGTGGGACCTACCCTGGACATTGGACACTGTATCTAGTTCCACCCCCTCCTAGCTACAGTGCTAACTACTTACCAATAACAACTACACCTTTTTGGCCTGCCCGCATTATCTGATATCTCCCAAAGATGATTGGGCGCTACGGTACCTTATATCAGACACATATGTACACTTTGTGTCTACTACATGTACTACCTACTACCTGTAAGTACCAAGTCTAGTAGCGGCCCCGGGTCTTAGGACCAACCAACAGACCTCCCTCTAGTCCCAGATCTTCTTCATCTTGATACCAACATGTACATACCATCCATCTTGACTCGACAGGCTTAAACCCGGGTCTTTTCCAAAAGATCGTCCCTCCTTCTTGCATTGGCCATGACTACTTATACTTCCTCTGTTCTCTTTGTGTGATATCAAAACAGAGACCTGTATGTGAAACCCTACCCTTTGCACTTTTACCAGTCTCATCGTGTATTGCTATTCCGCTCCATTTCCACATCTTACCCCGGCTTCATACCTGGTAGAACTGTTGTACTGTAGGTAGGTACATAAGTATCTGGATTAGCCACTTACAGTACATACAGTACAGTACTTACTGTAGTATACAACATCCCTGTTCGTATTCGGCTTACGAACGTCATCGTCTACCATCGGTGTTGTTGACTTGCCTGATCTACTTTTGTTATCATTCCAGTACCGGTATCTACTTCGTACTTACATATTCTCTAGAGTTTAATCTCTTATCAACCCATCCACAGCTTAGGTCCTTCTTTCGAAAGTTGATCGGCCGTTATCTACTGCACCGGGTACCCCATGGCTCCGATTCGCTTGATTATCGAGGATGGCCAATTTCATGACGTGAATGGTAGACATGTCCTTCTGAGAGGCATCAACGTCGCAGCCGACGCCAAGCTCCCCAGCCGTCCGAACGTGCCCTCCCATGTCGCCGACGACTTCTTCGATGGCGATAATGTCAAGTTTCATGCCCGCCCTTTCCCGAAAGAAGATGCCCATGTTCACTTCTCCCGTTTAAAACGCTTCGGTTACAACACCATCCGTTATATCTTCACCTGGGAAGCCATCGAGGCCGCCGGGCCCGGCATCTACGACGAGGAGTGGATTCAACATACAATCGATGTTCTGAGAGTGGCCAAGGAGTATGGCTTCTATGTCTTTATGGACCCGCATCAGGATGTGGTTCGTTGCTCTCCCTTCTCCCCTTCCACCCTCCCATAGTGCCGCCTACTAACAGCTTGTTGCTTCAAAGTGGTCTAGATACTGCGGCGGTTCTGGCGCTCCTATGTGGACCATATACGCTTGTGGGTTGAACCCACAGAGCTTCGCTGCCACCGAGGCCGCTATTGTCCATAACACGTACCCCGAACCCGACAAATTCCCCAAGATGATCTGGTCAACCAATTACTATCGCTTAGCGGCTGCTACCATATTTACCATGTTCTTCGCTGGACGAGACTTTGCACCGAAATGCATTATAAACGGCATGAATATTCAAGACTATTTACAAGGGCATTTCATGCGTGCCTGTGCACATTTAGCTAAGAGGATACAAGAAGCCGGTGACATTGAGAACGAAGTAGTGTTTGGATGGGAGAGCCTAAACGAACCGAACAGAGGAATGATCGGACATGTCGATCTGGGCGTCATTCCCAATGAACAACAGCTGAAGAAGGGTACCTGCCCGACTGTCTGGCAGAGCTTATTGACAGGTTCCGGACGCGCTTGTGAGATGGATACTTGGGATATAGGAGGACTAGGTGCTTACAAGGTCGGACGTGAGCTTATTGATCCACATGGAGAGAAGGCCTGGCTGCCTGAAGATTACGATGATACTAGGTACGGTTGGAAGCGTGACTCCGAGTGGAAACTTGGCGAATGCGTATGGGCGCAACATGGAGTATGGGACCCTTCTCAAGATGCTCTATTACAAAAGAACTATTTCCAAAAGAATCCTCGAACCGGTGAGGTTCTGAATTATCCGGCATTTACCAACTCCTACTTTATGGACTTTTACCGATACTATAGAGACACTATACGAGCTATACATAAAGACGCAATCATGCTCTGTCAGCCGCCGACGTTAGAGATTCCGCCCACTATTAAAGGCACCGAGGATGATGACCCGCGAATGGTGTACGCGCCTCACTATTACGATGGTATCACTCTTATGACGAAGAAATGGAATCGGACGTGGAATGTGGATGTTCTTGGAGTGCTGCGAGGTAGATACCTTCATCCTGCCTTCGCCATCAAATTAGGCGAAACGGCAATCCGGAATTCATTCAAAGAGCAACTAGCGGCCATTAAAAAGGAGGGTCAAGACTACATGGGAAATCACCCGTGCATCTTGACAGAATTCGGAATACCCTATGATATGGACGACAAACGTGCTTATAAGACGGGCGACTATTCAAGTCAATCAGCTGCCATGGATGCCAACCACTTTGCTGTAGAAGGTGCTGCGATGGATGGATACACACTCTGGGTGTATGCTGCCACTGTAAGTACGCCTGACTGTGCTTTGGTACGGTATGGGGTAATTTACTAACGAGCTACTTCCAGAACGACCACCAAAGGGGCGACCAGTGGAATGGCGAGGATCTATCCATCTACTCGGTAGACGACCAAACGCTACCCGTCTCATCTCTGCCTCGGACACAAATCATGCCATCATCATCCACGGGCCCATCAAAGACGCCTCCCACGGTTTCCACCAGGACAGAAGTTGACGACGAGATCTCCGTCACACCGACCAATCTGAAACAAACACTCACCAATCCTTCCATATCATCCTCGGCCCCAAGTCCTAATCCTGAGCTGACCACCACCCCGGGCTACCGCGCCGCAGAGGCATATATCCGCCCCGCACCCATCGTCGCGTCCGGCAAGATCGTCAACTACGGATTTGACCTGAAGAACTGCCAGTTCACGCTCAACCTCGACGCACTGGCGGGACGACCATCCGACGCCGCGACGGTCGTCTTCTTACCCGAGTACCATTTCCCGAAGGAGCAGTGCACGGTGGCCGTGAGCTCGGGGAAGTGGGAGATCTGCACCGAGGACGAGGAGCGCGCGTGGGTGCAGAGGATACGGTGGTGGCATGCAGATGGCGCGCAGAGCCTCAAGGTCACAGGTCTTATTCGACCGCATAACGCGGGCGCCGGGACTCCTGAGGAGGAGGGCTATCTGGAGCAGTGCCAGCAGACTTATGGCGTTGACGTCAAAAACTGCAGCGTCATGTAGGTCTTTTACGTTACTGGGATATGAAATATGAAAGCGGAGGGTATTAGGCATTGCCTGAATGGGATGGATTTATACATATTGGGATGAGTGGGAATGCTGGGGAATACATGGCGTTTTCGAATATTGGTTTGCACATAGCAGGTAGCGCAATAGTAATATACCACAATACACTTGCATTGCGCCGGGATACTGGATTTATTGCGATGTGAGTGAGGGTTTGTGCTGTACTGTTAGATTGAGTATGTGTTAGGTTTTCGCATCTAAGACCTGAGGATCTGTCGTGTATGTAAGCTGACCTGAAAAAAAAAAATACTTTGTCAGATAAGAGGGAAGCTTGCGAATGAGCACGCACTCGTTAGCGAAAGGCCTTTTCTCCTACAAATTTACCCACCTTGTTTCTGCCTATGCATCTGCCTCCTAGATACTTACCTACTTATCTACCTATCTACTGTATGTGTATGTGTATGTGTATGTGTACCGGTGTCTGATGTCAAGGAAATTTTCCATGGGGGCGGGGATGCCGATGTGTTCGGAGCGGAAGTGTCGTTGGGCCGAGATTGGATTACGATATCTATGTACGCTATTATCTGGACTTACTTACACACACAATATTACGTGTACTATGGAGTAAGTATAATTCTAATGGGTAGGTACGAAGGTCCTATATGTATGTACCTATATAGGTTGTGATGGATGATATTTAGAGTATGCTACGTAGGTAGTGTGATGCTTTTGTTTATTGCTTTATTGGTATGGCGCAGAGGGTTCGGATTGCGAAGGTCTAGGTACCTAGGTATACCTGCGTGTCTGTCTGTCTGTCTGCACTACAGATTCGTAATGTTGGGTAATCAATCGTTACCCGAATGAAATGTTTTGCAAGACAAGGTAACTTAGGTATGTAGGTAGTCAATATGGAATTATTGTCTCTGATACTGGTTTGGCGCGAGGAAAGCCGTTTTTGCCGAGTCCGCCACGGTTACAGTGTAGGTACTAACGAGGCACATGCTTATTCGCAGGCCACGTGGGAGTCTTAAGCCCGGCATGTGAGTGAGTGAGGTAGGCAGGAAGATATCTTCAATAAAAGAGCTAGAAAAGAAAGAACAACACAAAAAAAGCAGAGGTTCATAATGCCTTAGCGATGAGACACTGAGGATGGCAACAGTGGCTGAGGAATTCTCGATGGAAAAACAATATCGGTTCTCCTCACCCTATCAAATCAACTCTTTCGTTACGCTCGGTACACTACAATAAGTAAGTACTTCGTAGATACACACGCACGCACACGAGACCAACACTCAGGTTCGGTAATGCCTGTTTCATCAGCAGATCCTGACTGGCTGGCTCCCTCGGTTTCTCTTGGCCACTCGTGTGCGGCTGCGCGTATCATTCGTCGGTTTCCTTGGGAATCCCCGTTCCTGGTGCCTTGCTGTGCCATTTGTCCTGTACACACACACTTACAGTACACGTAACTCGGGAGTCAGCAAGTAGTGCCAGTACTGATATGACAGCAACTCTGCTCCATACTCATACTCTTCTATCCATCCACACAAGACTCTTAAGACTATCAGTCAAGTACGGTAGTCGACTCACAGCCGTCTCGCCGTCCATTCCTAACCCCGCTGGAGATGGCGATGGCTGGGCAGAACGAGGTGGATGATTGACAGGGTCTTGCTAGGTCGTCATTAGACGCGTAGCCGCCCGACTTTGTCCCCACGCCGAAGCTGGATGGTGGTGTACCACACTACGAAGTACCTCTTATGCAGGTGCGATGCACGCTGCCCGCACTTGTGTCTGTCGAGCTTGTCACAGTAGCATGCGTAATACCTAGTAGGTTAGTACTTCGTAAGTAGGTAGAAGGTCTGTCTCTGATCTCCTGATCTCCAACTAATTCTCACGCTATGTCTGCAAGACTTGGCATGTCCTACCAAAAACACTGCAATGGTAATCCACGCGGAAATTAATACATCATAATCATGATGTATATACCGATATGGCATATATGAGCAAGTACGCCAGGGTCGAAGGCGGCTTGTGTTTAAGCTCCCGCTTCCCGGAATGAATTGACTGACTTTGCGGGTCAGGGTCTCCTGACTCGAGATGTCAGTCGAGTCAGTCAGTCTACGTAAGACCAGCAGCTCCTGTTTTGAGTCGGCAGTGCTCGCGTCAGATAATAAAGAAAATTATCATCCTGCAATGATTGGAAACAGCTGTTGAACCCTCATTATATTAAATTTATAGCATAACATATAGGATCAAAGATCTTGGAAGTCTCATCCATCATCTCTTCAATACAATCCCGGATTCTGGAATACCCATCGTGTGTGGACGGAGCAGGCCTACGAAGTACTAGAAATATGCAGGGATTGGATTTCGACGCTGCTGCATGCCAAGCTCCACCTTCAGCTGGGGTGGACGAGGATGATACGCTACACTACACTGCGACAGTCGCACTTCTGCATGGATGGCAGCTCTATGATTGGTATGTTGGCGATGCTCGCTCTCGTAAAACTGGTAACCATCTCCGTGAGGGGTCCAATATTGTGCCTTGCCCAATGCTCTACATCTGCCCAGTATAAACTGATGACTAGGCAGGGCCATAGCGAGCCTGTTCAGCGCAAGATGCCCACGTTTCCAGGCGTTCTTAGCGCACTGGCCTGCCCCGTATTGAGTCCAGTTAGGTGGGTGGGCAGGTAGGTACAGTGCTAAAACACGTCGCAGGTCCACTATCTGTCACTTCCTCCGCCAGACTCCGCCTAGAAACTCTCTTACCTAAGCCCAGCCCTCATCTTACCTGCACTGTAGGCACACTACCTCTACCTACCTAGATCTACTCCACGACCTTTGTCAGGCATCTCTGAAGGTGTTTGATTAATCGTCAGTCTGTTTATTTCGTTTCATTCCCCGCCGAAGACGACACGGATACTGTATATCTAATTCTAAGTACGAGCAATCATAATTCTTACTTTGACAGAACTACCATACCTGGCCCTGCGAACTCCGCGCCTTGCCTTTGTTGCTATCCGTGTCTTGACAACCATGTTTAGCACTGCCCTCACAGTCAACCTCGGCTACATGCTCGCAACGCCATGAAGGAAGCCGTCCGTGGGATATATCAATAATCTAGGCCATAGTCGCCCTTGGAGGGAAAGAAACGACACCAAACTCATTATCACAAACGCGAATCGCCCGTGTTAGAAACAGTACATACATCACAGCACAAGACGAGACGAGCGAAGTGATACGACACCATCCGGTACATGACCAATCGCACAACCAGCTTTGCATAAGCTCACGACATTATCTCGCTATAGCAGCCCTGTCACCCACGAGGACTGCCGTTCATATTCTCGAGCACCCGATACGAAGCGGTTTGTAATTCGCCATATCTGTCTGCTACCTTGGTCTCGTCACGCAGACCTTCGACTTGGCGACCCATGCGCAAAGCGCTGCCCAAGTGCGACAGCCGCCCGCCGATTGCGTATTCATCGCATACGTCCATGCTTGGTCGATAACATACCATTATCTCAAATACATACGCATATCTCGAAACTTAGACAAACGAACTTTCTTATACTGCTTGACTAGACCAGCTTATTGCTCACAAAGTCGACCATGTATTCAAACGGGCAGAGAGACCCGGCGCGGCCATTCTTGCCGCCGCCGCCCCCCTTGACGATGTCCAGTCAAGGTCAACTCCCCCATATGACAGGTATTCCGCCGCCACCTCCTCGATACCCCCTCGCGCCAGCCACTATCAACGGTGTTTTACTCCCTCCGCCTCCTGGTCCCCCGCCAAACAGTGCTCTTGGTCCTTCGGCGCCGTGGCAAGGAAGCTGGGGCCGTCCCTACGATGGGCGCGCTGGCTTCATGCCCATCCAACACACCGGCGGCCCCGTCGCCTACAACCCCAGGCTGATCCACCAAATTTCGAATCCCGCATTGTCGTCTATCCCCCCACCACCTCCATTGACATCGGATCACCTTGGAAAGTCCAATAACAGACTCGGAAATGAAGAGGCAGAGGCAGCCATGACGGCTACCTACATACCTGAGAGTAATACGTACGGTGAGGGTGTTGGTATTCCAGGGTTCTTCCCTGACGACACATCCACGTACCCTACCATCGCTGCTCAACCGCCCTGGCCAGCTACGAGTCAGGCTACAACCCAAGCTACCAGCAATAGTACCAGCTCCACAGCTCCTACCGACGACGGGCGAACCGGACTTTATCCAAACACTTTCCAGACCAAGCAGGTTTCCATAAAATCAAACGCGCCCGTGGCACATGCTGAGATACCACCCGAGCTCGCCGCAAAATGGCCTCTCGATCAGGTCCTCGTATGGCTTGCCGCCAATGGGTTCTCAAAGGATTGGCAAGAGACGTTTAAGGGACTTGAGCTCGAGGGCGCCCGCTTCTTAGAACTTGGCAGTCAGCGAGGAGGACGTGGTAATTTTGGCATGATGCATCAGTTGGTATATCCTCGACTTGCCCAAGAATGCATTAACAGCGGAACGGGCTGGGACCAGGCACGCGAGAGGGAGGAGGGAAAGAGGATGCGCCGGCTTATTCGAATTTTGGGCACAGGCAAACCTCCCGAATCCTCGAAAGTCCAATCATCATCTCATATTCGCAAAGAGTCACTGAGCTGTACACATGGACACAGTACAGGAACCGATGTTGAATCTCCCAACACGCCAATCAAGCCCAATGGTTCCGCAGCAAATCTTCGCGGATTCCCCCAGGCACCGAGGGCAACGACAATGCCGATCAGCGGCACCATGACAACTGAGTCTAACCACCGAGCCATGTTAAAGAACATTGATATTGAAAATAACAGGAAGGGTAGCCCCAGCAGTGCAAGTGAATTTGGAGATGGAATTCTACGAAGACAAAGTCCCAGCTTGAGTCCGAAAATACCACTTTCACTTCCTCCCTCATCACCATCTAGCAGATTTGGCCATAAACCTCGAAATAGCACTGATTCGGTTTCATCCAGCACTGCTATATATGGCTCAGGGGTACCACCTGAAGCTGGGCAACTTCTGCGCAATGCACAGACTAATCCAGGCTATGGTAGTCGTTTATCGCCTATGGATTCTGGTGAGCGCTCAGCCGGTGCTGAACCAAACTCCGCCAAGGACAGCAAGAATTTATTTGGATTTTTGAAGAAGAAGCATAAGCACCGAGATGACGACAAAGATTCGCCTACGAGTCCTGGCTTGTTCAAGTCGAACGGTGGGTTGATGAATGGAACTGGGCCCAATTCTCAAAGGACTTATATACTAGTAACCTTAGATGGCTGGAACTATCGTATGTGCGATGTCACCGATTGTGATACTGCAAGGGAGCTCCAAATCAGTATCTGCATGAACCTTGGCCTGGCTGATCCTGATGCCCTGCAAATGTACCCAACTGAGCTCGGCCAAGCAGTGCATGAGCAAACTTTAGGAGACGTGTGTGTCTGGCACCCCAAACGCGCAGGCCTCGGCGCTATGAAATTGTTCGTCAAATATGGGGACACGGCCAGTGGAGGCCCAAGTGTGCCATCGCTCCTGGTTCCTTCAGATCATTCTGACAGTTATAATCAAATGAACGGTTATCGTATGAGATCCAGCTCGTCGCCACCTACGTCTCGACCCAATACTATAATGAAACCTAGTGACGAACAGCTAGCTACACAAGCCAGAAGCCAGGGTGTTTCGAAGCAGTTGTCCCCTCTGGAATCGCCATCGGGCGGTTTCGTTGGTAGGGATGTGGATTTCGACCATCCCCGTACTTCTCCTTACGAAGACAAGAAGCCAGATAATCTTTTCCCACAGAGGAGAGCACCAGCACCGCCAGTCGTCGAGACTGCAACGCTCATCAAGGCAAATTCGCTCAGCAAGAAAACTGGGCATAGCATGAAGTTGTCTCAGTCGGGCATGGACGGTATTCCTAGTCCTAGGCGGCCCGCGACGTCGACTGGCTCGTACGATAATGGTGTTGAGATGTCCCACAAGCCGCAGCGCCCTGTACTCGCCTCACCTCCAGCTGGCTCGGCCTTTGGTGCTTTAGTGAATATAGGAAGTGCATGGGGTCACCTAGGGAGGCCATCTACATCAGACCAGCGACGGTCCAAATCTCCAAGTCGAGTGAACTCAAACCTGCCGGCCGGGACAGAGTATGCTGAACAAAGAGGTAAGGGAGCAATGGCAACTGTTGATTTTGGTCAAAACGCCTCAGGTCGTAGTAGTCCGGGGTCTGGCTCGCCAGGTTCCATCACCTGGAGTCGTGGTGATGTTCCATTCATCGTCCCGGACTACTCACCTGGTGGTACCCCGATCCCCAACACTGGGAACAAACCTCAACATGAGCTACTTGCTAAAGTGCGCCAAACAGCACAACGAACAGCCACCACTGGCGATGTTAGCCCCAGTACATCACATACGGCCACTCCTTCATCAGGCTTAGCATATGCATCTAGCGTCCGCCGCAAGTCACATGGCCCTGAAGTTGATTTTACCGAGACAGACGTGCAATTCTCCAAAGTAACCGAGTCAACAAGTAAACCCGCCGACGACTCTGGTGACGATTCGGACGATGGACTATTCGCCATTCCTGTACGAGGTAGACAGCCGTCGAGGTCAGTACGCAAACCCAAAGGATCCAGTCAGGAAAGTGATGCGGAGTCGGTTGGCACAAAACCCAGCCTACGAGTCAGGACGTCGAGGACGGGAAAGAACCTATCGGTGTCATTTGGCTCCCCCCGCACAATGACTACGCCGGATCTAGAAGATGACGAGGAGAGTGTAAGGAGTGGCCGTAGTTCTCACCGCCGCACGCCCGCAACACCAGGCTCAGATCAGTGGCAGTCTGATGATAGCAAGCTGAATCGCCGAAAATCCTTTATCGAACGCGATGTGTGGGCCAATCGTCCTCCTACTGAAGCACTCTTGAGCAATCTCGATGCTTATTTCCCCGAGCTAGACCTCGACCAACCGGTTCTAGACGAAAGTCAGCTCCAGGAGCCAAGCCCACCTGTCTCGCCTATTCCCGAGCAAGAGGAGCCTGCGCCTAATGCTACTAGCATAACAATTGGAATCCCTACACCCCCAGATACGAACGATGAAGGAAGGACATTCTACAACGAGAGTGATACGCTTGGCTCCGACGAATCTACACTCAAAGCGCTCGAGCGACCCGCGTCTATCGCTTCCACTTCTAATACACGGAAAAGCGTGCGCAAGTCTGGAGGCATCAACAGAATGAAGTCGATTCGAGAAGTTGCCCGGGGTGCTCACGAGGCCAATAAACGCTACACCAGCACCTCGACAGCCAGTGGTGCTAGGTCTATGTCCATGGTGCAACGTCGTAAGAGTACCAAGATGTTTGGCGCCAACGTTGTACAGATTCATCCCGAGCGTGGATCCATGATTGTGCCGCAGATACCACAAGATGTTCTCCCCAAGCGCCAGACAACTTTCCGATGGTTCAAGGGTGAATTGATTGGAAAGGGTACCTACGGTCGCGTGTATCTCGGTATGAATGCGACGACAGGAGAATTCTTGGCCGTGAAAGAGGTTGAGGTAAACCCGAAGGCAGCCGGCGGAGACAAGAATAAGATGAAAGAACTCCTCGCCGCCTTGGATCAAGAAATCGACACCATGCAAAACCTCGACCACGTGAACATCGTTCAGTATCTCGGCTGTGAGAGAAAAGAAACCAGCATCAGTATTTTTCTTGAATACATCTCAGGTGGCAGCATCGGATCATGTCTTCGTAAACATGGAAAGTTTGAGGAACCGGTCGTTCGCTCTCTCACCTGGCAGACACTGTCCGGGCTTGCCTATCTCCATCACGAAGGCATCTTACATCGTGATCTGAAAGCTGACAACATCCTGCTTGATCTGGACGGCACGTGCAAAATCTCCGATTTTGGTATTTCCAAGAAAACGGACGATATCTACGGTAATGACAAGACCAATTCAATGCAAGGCTCTGTCTTCTGGATGGCTCCCGAAGTCATCCGCTCGCAAGGTGAGGGCTACAGCGCCAAGGTCGACATCTGGAGCTTGGGTTGCGTTGTCCTCGAAATGTTTGCTGGTCGCCGGCCCTGGAGTAAGGAAGAGGCCGTCGGGGCCATCTACAAAATCGCTAACGGCGAGACGCCGCCGATCAACGAAGAGGTCCGCGCTGCCATCACCCCATATGCTCTGGGGTTCATGCTTGACTGTTTCACCGTGTAAGTGGTTTATCTTTCTTTTATCAACCCGGTAAAGGTCACGTTAGGTTCATGAAGACATGATAACTGATTTGCTATTTTCTCACACAGAGATCCGCGAGATCGACCTACTGCTTTACGCCTCCTGAAATATCATGAATTCTGTGAGCTTGATACGAATTACAACTTTTACGATACGGAGCTTTATGCTAGGATTCGAGGAACTTTTACCAGTTGATTAACTACCCTTCCCGAAAAGTGAAAAAGGCGAAAAGAGCGAAAATACCTCTAGATCTCAGGGATCGATAGATGCTTTTTTTTAAAGTTTCCTGTTTGTGGAATTGTGGCCTTGTATATGCATGCATGCGGCTTGGGTAATGCTAATGGTGGCATTGGGGTTCCTTCCTCCTTTTTTATATGAGCTGGTTGCTTGCTCTTGCTATTATGCTCTTAGCATGGCGTTTGGATTTCGCTTTCTGATGTCGTAAATAGCTGTGATCTTCCATTGGGCATAACCCAAGTTTGAGAGATCCTGTTTATCTGGGCTGCAGCTTGGGAATGGAGGGCTGAAAAATGAGTGGTGGATTGGTGGCTTGATTACCCGTGGTAACGATGATGTATATAGGGTAAGGTAGTGTTCACCCACGGACTCTTGAGAGTAATGCGATGCGTTCGGCTTCATTCTGGATGCAGAAATGTGTTGTGGGTGGTGTACATCGGGGAAATGTGCCAAGTTTGGTGTGGGCTGTAGTGTGATGTGAAATGTACATGCATGTGTGATCTACCTCTCTCTCTCTCTCGCTCTCTGTGTGCGTGTGTCTGTGTGTGACCGTATACCTTAAACACAATCAAAGCACATATCTAAAATAAGGATTCTCCTTATCTGTTAAATCCTTAAAAGCAATCCGCTCTCCTTCGCGCTCGTCGAGACCCAGCTGTTCGCGCCGCTTGTTTTCACGGTGTAAGATGATGTAGAGAGATGATGCGGCGAGGATCGTGATGATGTAACTATGTTGCGTATGAGGTTAGTTTGTGTCTTCATGGGAGTTATTTTCACGTGGTGTGAAGAGGGGGATGGAGTGAGTGTGATGAATAAAGTGAGGGATGAGTCGGTAGGTGTGTAAGTAAGTAACAGAGTAACCTCTAGGGTATGAATATAAAGAAAAAAGAAAATTGAAAAAAAAAAAAAAAACATACAAAACAATCAACCCAATCCAAAGCCCAGGATAATGCTCCCCCTTTGTCTCGCTCCTCACAAGCTGCGGCCCAACAATATTTCCCACACAATACGCCACAAACACCGCGGCAGCCATGAAGCTCTTCTTCGTCTCACCCGCGACATTCGCCGCGCCAAGGGAGACTGTCAAACCGACTACTGGACCGAAGAATCCGATGAGCGAATACCCTGCTACCGGGGCGATGGGATGATAGCCCCAAGTCGATTTCCAGATCAAGATGTACCCTGCGATAACCGGGAGACAGCAAGTTATGAGGGTGATGATGCGGACCGAGGGGATCCGCATGCCGATGTACCCTGTGAGCGGGATGCCTAGCGCGCAGATTGCGCCGAGGGGGAATTGGAAGAGGATGGATTCGAGGGGCGTGTACCCGAATGTTGAGACTATGAGCGGCCCGAAGCCGGATACGGCGCCGTTGACGGTGTAGCTTTGGGGTTGGTTGGTTAGTTGTGAGTTTAGAAGTGTGTTATGGTGCATGTGAGTGAGTGGTGAGTGAGTATTGAGAAAGTAGGTGAGTGAGTGATGGATGTAGAAAAGTCAAAGTCGATGCAAAAGTAAGCAGAACGGAATAACTCACGCAGACCCCATAACAAGCGCAACAAGCCAGACCTTCCCATCGCAAACAGCCTCTCTGATCTGTCCCATCTTAATCTTCTGATTGCGTACCCCCGTCTGCCCCATTCGCAAGCGCTCAACAGCCACGATGCGCTCCTCGGGGGACAGAAACCACGCATCTAGAGGCGAGTTCGGAAGCCAGAAACACCATATTCCGAACACGAACGTTAAAGCCCCTGCGAGGACGTAGATGTATTGCCATGGGCGCAGCGCTGATGAAGAGATCTGCGCGAAGCCGTAGTTCAATGCGCTCCCGATGATCGTGAACCACCCTGTGCCGCTGAACCACCATGTTTGGCGGAGCGATTGCTCGCGCTGCGTGTAGTACCCGCTTACGATTGTCATGAAGGATGTTGGGACGATGGATTCGGTGAAGCCTGGTGACAGATGAGAGTTAGTCGGGTAGTCAGTCGGGAGTTCTTGTTTGGCTATTTTTCAGATCATGGTACGAGGGGATGAACAGGTATGTGAGTGGGTGAGTGAGAGGGTAAGTGGGTGAATGAGTAAGCGAGTCGTGATGAATAACGTATCCCATCGCACTCATTCACGCCTTGATTTACGACTTTCTCCCCTCTTTCCCTTCAATTCGCTTGACTTACCCAGGAAAAATCGCTGCACCAATAACCCCTGCCAAGTCGTCACGCCGGCCGTAGCAGCGCATATGACGGCCCAGATCATGACTGCCGGCCCGAGCACGTAGCGCGTGTTGAAGCGCTGCAAAAGGTACGTCGTCGGGTATGACCCGACGAGTTGGCCGAAGTAGAAGATCGACGTTGCCCAGGACAGCCGCGATGTGTCTGTCTTGCCGGTGACTGGGTTGACGACGGAGAGGTGCAGGTCCGATGTCATACCGAAGAGGGCGGCGCTGCCTAGGATGGCCTGTGTGTATATCAGATTTACGTGTTTCATATGCTTTTCTCTGCTTTTTACCTTATCGTAGTATACAAGCCCATAGCCTGTAAAGGTGGTTAGTTGCGTTCTGCGAATTATGAGATGAGATGGCTAAGATGAAGCAAAAATGAGAATGAGTAGTGCAGCTCTTCGTACCGATGACCATGGCCGGCATCAAGAACGTGTCAATCTTCCGCAGAACCCGCCGCTCCATGTCCGGGGGAATCGGCCGTGCTTCGGTCCCCATGATTTCTGCTCCTCCTTCATCTCCTCCCGCGACGGCCGCCGCCTCCAATGGCCGACCTTTCTCCTTTTCCCTCATGTTCGCGGCACACACTTCGCTATTTTTCAATTTTCCTTTCTTTTTAGATGAAGTAGTCGTGTTAACAAGATGATAATTAGCAACAAGACGCGGTACGAGAGCGAAAATAAGAGCTAATTACCTAGGTAGACAGTATTCACTTTCCGCAACTTTTTCTTCTCTTTCTTTTTTCAATGCGAGCTCTACAGAGACTATAGTTCTTAGCTCACTTCTCCGAGCCATTGAGAAGAGCTATAGCTCTAGGTGAAGCTGCTAATCAAGCCCGCCTATACCCGCACCCACTTTGTCTACCCCTCATGTTTGCGCTAATCGCGCTCTCTGTTTTGGAACTTTGGCTAGCCTTATGTCGGCTAAATACCTAGATTCATAGCCCTTCCTCTAATATAGGCATTCGAATTGTTGTCCAGCCCGCTCATGGCTTGCATAGCATCTAACGGTGACGGTGGGTTCCATTGCATTGACCCAATGCCTATATTATCAACGGTATCACCGAAGGGTTTGGCTCTAGCCTGCATATGGTCCAGATCGCAGACACCTCAAGATTTACATTGTTGTTGCTATTCAGGGGCAAGCGTCATGCTATGTAAGAACTGCTTAGAGACTGCTCGCCGCTTAGATTTAAATTATAGATCCTTTGTGTTCATAATTAGTAGAAAACGGTTTAAGTTCATCTATCCTACATTCCTCAAGTGAAAGAACGTATCCGGATACTGGATTACCAATCCTATTATCAAAATGTTTGAAAAGAAAAGCTGATTGATAAATGGGCTGTGGTTAACGCGCGCTGGAATATCAGTCATCCTGCTTGATATCACTGTGACCTTAGCGGATAGGATTGAGGAACGCGCCAGTTCCCGATGCCTATCTCGTCAAGGGCGAGTCGAACTCACACTTAGGAGTTGGTGTGTGGCAACGTTCCATTCACATCTGCTACATCCAGAACTAGTGAAACAGATATTAGGGATGAAAGAAGACATCATCGCGGTCAGCGAGATAATAACGAAACGACTGCCATGTAAGACGATGCGATTAATAGCTTGAGTGAAGGATTCGTGGGCACCAGTAATCACTGTCGCACAAAAAGATTGAATAGTAGGTAGGTAGTATAACACGGAATACTGACGAGCCGGCGACGTTGCTACTTTATTCTTGATATATGGCTGGTGCTCGCAGGTTGTCTTCACTCCGAGTCATCCGCATAATTCTGCAGCAGGCTGTAGTCCCCAAAAGTAGACAAAATCGCAGGATCAATGCCGTGGAACAATACATGTATCATAACGCCGAATCTGGTGCGAACCAGGTAGTATGCGGGCGGTGTAACAATTCAGGAGTTGTGACATAATGTAGTCAGATCTCCAGCATTACCACGCAGCCCTTCCTCGGCACTTGAACATGTTGAAAGCTGTGAAAAATGCTACCAACACGATTAGTGGTGATATTTGACGTGCGCGATAGTATCGCAGTGGTAGGTATCAATATACCAGCTATTTAGAAAGGGAAGTTAACACAAAAACCTACAATGTGTATAGCTGAAGAAGGTCGGAATGCCCTCTTTTTGATATCTCTGTTAGTTGCACAGCAATAGAAGTTCTCCCATTTCCCCTGGTGTACTCTATTAGCGACCATCTAACAATGGCAAGCCATCCAACGCTAATTCATCCTTCACATACATATAGGATTCTGCAAATACCACCTACAGCTAGGGGTCGGTCAGCAAAGATCACAAAGCTCCAGTAACAGCCAATCATTCCAATGGACCCTTTTTTCAACAAGAAGCCTTCTTTGATACCCTGTCTCTCAGAGTCTATGCTGCCCAGGAATTAGGTGATAGGCACAGACACCTTCATGAGTCCTAGGCGGGATAGAAGGCTGTCCGAAACTAGAGGATGGGATATGATGAGCACCTTTCGTTACAGAACTCAGTGACAACAATTTGGGGGCCCTATATGCAGGAAATCTTCATTGTATCAGAAAACGTGGTAGCAGCTAGTGATAGCTGGTGTGTAACACATCGTCTTATTTATGCTACGCTAGGTAGGATCATTTGCTGTGCTAGAAATCCTGCCTTTCGAACTGAAGGCCCTATTATATTAACCAGTACCCAGCGATGTCGCTATCTATATGACTAGCTTAATCTGAGCCCCAAATTTCAACACTTATTCAGCCTGTGGTATCATAGCAGCATACGATGTCTCCTCTGTCGCCTGAAGACTTATCGGCCTTATCGCCAGAATACCTTGATGAGACGAACAATCCCGAGAGGCTGGAAGGTGTTTCTATCTTATTTATAACCCTCTCAACTATTGTGTTCTCTCTTTTTGTCGTATCACGAGCGTTTTGTGCCCCCCGCAACACATGGGAAACATGGGCATTGTACCCCGTAGCTTATATAGCGACACTTTCGAACTGTATCATCTGCCTTTGTCAGTACCCAAGTATTCATATGAATGGCCCCCTTTGAAAGTCTATAGCTCATTGAAATCATAGTACTCGAACTCATCACCGGCACCGGTCGGCGCACGGCCTATCTACTACTCTTCGCGCCTGACAAATTGACTTTATATGAAAAGCTCCGAACAGCAGTCGAGTTCACGTACGTATTAGGAACGACGCTACCCAAAATTGCGATCCTATCATCATATATACGGCTATTTTCAGATCGTAAGGTCAAATTGCTGTCTTGGATCACTATCGCAGTCATCATTCTGCAAATTCTCGTTTTCGGTTTCATCGTCTACTTCACGATTTGCCGGCCCTTCTCTTATCAATGGGACCAGTCAACCTGAGGCCACTGTGGCGACGTTCTACTTGTTTATAAGCTGTACAGCATCCCCAACATACTGACAGACCTGGCTATTATTGGGCTTCCCCTGCCTACCCTATTTCGCTTGCAGATGGGAAAGGCCGAGAAAATTGGTGTTGTCGTCACATTCCTAACAGGAGGCTTGTGAGTATTTTCTTAATTTGTTCCTTGCTAACTGAATCGTCATGCTATGTCATGCTTCTCGTCGGGTTCTGTGGCTAACGGCTATGTTGAAGGGGACTTATCACCGCCATCATCCGTTTTGTGGAATTCTACACGGCAGATCTAGCCTCAGACCGTGTCTTCTATAGCGTTGATACTTTCTTATGGACTGTCATTGAACAAGGCGCCTATTTCATTTGTTCCTGCTTTCCGGGTACACGGGCTCTAGTGATCACGGTACACGGGAAGCTGAGGCGTGGAATTACCCGGCCAAGTCAAGCAAAATCCGAAGTGAATAGCAATCACGGTTCCCATAAGCCCAATGTCTCTCAAGAAACAGTATCGATCTCTTCAGCGACCTGAGAGTCAATACTGAGGTCAAAATTTGGGAAGGATTCCTTCACCTTGAGGAGACTGTCAACGTAACGGCATTCCTGTTGACCGCTTACCGCCTCAGTAAACCTCGCTAGCGGCCAAGGGCCAAGATGGCAGAAGTTTAAATGTGATAGCTACCTTGAATCATCGCCGTGTGTTTCAAACGTCGCAGCTATGATTCGAGCATGGTTATATAGCCACGGTCGGCGTAGTGAATAGAGTATTGAATGATTAGAATAGGGCAACGGTTTTTCTTTCCCCATAGTTACTTTCGTATAGTTGCCAAGGATCGCTTCATCGGGTGGTCATGGTACGAACTCCATTGTTGCGCAACTATCAGAAAGCTCTAAAGAAGTGACCACATTCGAATTTCTTTGGTTATACTCCTTCTTGGGCTTAGTCCCGGCATCAAGTGCTGCGCTGCCTTTCGTTGCATTGGTGGCTTGAAGTGGCTTGTAGGGCATAATTAGGTATGTGATCTTACGCCAGCCAGCCACATAAGAACCCAACCCCTGCTCTTGCATTCTATCACCTTTATTTTGCATGTTGCCTTCATGTCGCTCAGTTCTTCTTCTGCGCGATTCTATACCCACTATCCTTCATTCTTTACTATTTCATAAGCGTCTGAACCTTATCAATCCCAATGTCGGCCCAAGAAGTCCACTCGGCAACTGTTCCCAAAGCCCCGCAGAGTGATGGTGATTGGGAAGAAATAAAAGCAGATATCAAGAACATTGCGAGGATACTCCAATCCCTAGCTCCGCAGCCTCAGGCGGTCTTACCTAGAGTTAGTTATTCTTAAGCCTGAAATTCCGATTTTCGAATCCTAATGTTTATCTATTGCAGGGAGAATTCTCTTGTCCTAAAGATGCCCTCGATGAATTGCTACCAATGTTCCTACCCACCGAAGAAAGATTAGCCTTGTTCGAGGATGTACTACTTTCAATGCTGACCAGGAAAAGCGATGGGCTATTCTCCCTCTGGGACTACGAACTCAAGTCATGCGGGTTGTGGTTTCCGACTGCCACTCATACGCAGACCCTCCAGACTCCTCTGAGGTCTGGGCTCCAGGGTGCGACCCAGGTCGTGACCATAGGCAGCACACCCACATCCACGTCGATTCCTCAGATTGAGAAGTGTATCAGAGAAAGGAGGGCACGTGTTAGGGTTTGGGGTTCGAGACTTTGGGAGTGGAACTCTATTCAGTGCCCTGGCTTAGACTTTGCCCTCTGCCGCGTTGTTGGTAGCGGTAAAGATGTCAAATATGATGTGAGCGACATTCGCTCTATAAGGTCAATACCGCGCGTATTAACTTGGAATCTTTGTACTGCAATTAAAATATATAGATCAGGAACAACTTGGGAGTCTTATCAATATACGAGGGCCCCTATCAAAATATGGCTACGGCACTTTATGGTAGGGTTTATATCCATACGTCCTTTCCCAAGAGCGGTGTAACTAATTATCACTTCAGTCTGATACGAGCCCCTGTGAGAGGCGACACTCTAGATCTTCGGTGTGTCAATCTTATCATGGCCCAAGTTAGCCGCTGGCACTATAGGCAGAGAGATGGCCTTGTTTCCGTCTATCAAAGTCATTTTGACTCAGTCATGTTTTTCTTATCAGTCTTTGCTGGATTATGGCCTTCTCGAAACGAGAGAATGAAGTTCTCGTGGCAAGTCAACACGTGGCCTCTTATGAATTTCGATTGTTTCTACCTCCAAGTCCATTTTCGGTACTTCACAACCGATAAACAGGAGGAAGATCCTGGCGTTCCTAGTGCGTCAACTCATGTTCTACGTTGTTTCAGAGAGCAGGGTCAAATTGTTTCAACCGCACTTCAGGTAGACTCCCACTCCTTCCAAGAAAGACGTATCTCGGTATTTGGTCTTTTCTTGGCACAAAACAAAATAAACACAAGCGCAGCACCTTTTTATAGTGTTTTGGCTTTAGGGGAAACGGACTTCGAAAACCTCCAGGGATACGATCTTAAGTGGTGTGCAGGCTTGGAAGGAACAATCACCTTCCAACTTGCAGTGCTCGCAAGCGTGGCAATCTGGACAACAGAGTGGAACGCCATGTTGGATCAGATTGACAAATGCGTACATGTTAAGTTCAGCCATACGCTGAGCCCCGAGGACATTAATGCCTGGATGTTTGATGACAACTTCGAGCGGTCTCGGTTGTATTTTACGATCCTCCAGGTTCTACGGATGTTCAATGAGTGCATTAGCACTGTTTCTGACGATCTACGTGCTTTAGACGAGCTCTTTTTGAAGCAAACAGACTTTCCAATGCAAGACATGAGAGAGGATGAACTTGAGATCATGAGGTCGAACTGGGAGACAGTAAAGAAAACTCAGGAAGAAGCCGCAAAAGCGTTGTTGAACCGAATCTTATTCAAAACGGAAGAGGTTAAGAGTCTTCGAGATGGGGTATGTACTTACCAACTGAAACCCTATTTTAATTTAACGGCTAACAACATATATTTCTTTAGCTTTTTAACGCGTCTGCTTTGCGAGAAGCGAATAAGTCCTCGACGATGGGCCGCTATGTTCTCATCTTTACTATAGTAACTGTGCTATTTCTTCCTCCGAGTTTCGTATCAGTATGTATAAGCTCATTGCTGCTCGAAGGGAAATGCATCTAATTTTCTATATAGACTGTGTTTGCATTGGAGATATTCCAAAAAAATGTCGCCCAGACGAAATGGGAGTACAAGGTGGCACTAGTCTCGGTGTCCCTGGTTACCTACGCCGTATCCTTTGCTGCCGTCATCGCTGTTGACAAAAAGAAATTGGAACAGAGAGTCTCACAATGGAAGAAGAGTTTCAAGAAATGGACATCAAATGAGGCTAAATCAGTCCCAAAGTCACAAGATGAGGAGGAGCCAGTCCCACCGGTCCGAGATGAGGAATCTCTTTCGCTTAAGGAGAAAAGACATCTGTTTCCCATCTCGACATTTGCCAGCCGTTTCGGGAAATCCTCAAAAAGGAAGGACAAGGGTAAAGCCCCAGACAACAGCACGAGTTCTATGATGCAAACACAGAATGAGCAAGATTCCTAATTCCATGCCACGCAAAGTTGAAGAGAGGGAACAAACGGCGTTGATGGATATACTTATTTCGTTTCTCACAGACGTGTTATAGAAGGTGAGATTATAGGTGTTATGAGTACTTCCTCTGCATTTGAGAGTCTCTAGGAGTGTTACACGCGTACGAGCTGAGTATGCAGTTCACCTTGCGCTTCGGCCGCACGAAAAGACATTGCAGGCTGTTCATGATCTTAAAATATATGCAGACTTCGCTTCATAAAATAAGCCAACGAGACCTAGGCGGTCTGGGCTAGCAGACCAGCTGTATATAGAGTTGAGTCAAGCCACCTGTCATGGAGATATGTCCCCGGAGTGAAGCTAGATCTCTAGTAGGTAGCACACAGGTAGTAGATAGATTGAGGGTAGAGGTAAGGGCTCAATATTATTGATTCCTGGCTCTCTAAACATTAAGAGGGAGCCTTTACACCTTTATATAGTCAACTTCTAAGCTGTCCCCAGTAACTTCAACCCTAGTGCTATATTGTTCCCTGACACCGCCAAGGCCAAGAAGGAATTAGTTGTTCAAGGACTCATGCAGCCTTGGTTGATCATTATATCGTGAATCGCATCAAGTTCCAAGCCTAGACCTCTACCCTTGTTATAAAGAGCGTTGTGAAGATGTCCATGTCTCGAGCCATATGTATTTATCATAAATCGTTCAATACTGAGATAACGTGCTCCGGCGCGGTATAATCCTCCATAAACCACTATCCCAGAGGTGGACGATGAAGCAACTAAGTGAGTCAAAGCCATAAGACTTTTTTGATAGCCATATGGTGGAACAAACAAAGCAAAAGCCACGACGCTCAAAGTTAAATTAAAAACTCGCATTTTAGTCTATGTATCACTACTTCCCCAAACACATCCATCTTTCACTCAAACTAATTCTCTTGCACTATCAACAAACAGCCACAACACCCTCCTAATCAGATCCCTTGCTCAATTCACGCTCCTAAGACGCAGTGATAAACAGCCCGATAGGACAAGGGTTATAATCCTGGAAATACCTCAGATTCGTCGAGGCATCTTCGCCGGCACCACTAAGTCCCAGCGTAATAGCCTCACCGGCCGGACACTCGAAGCTGGTAATAGTATATGCATTGCCCGGGGTAACAGTCTGCGTGCCGTACGACTGGGCCACGGAAGGTAAATTGGCGTAGGATGTATCGCTCTTGACCGGACCGCTTAATTTCGAACATTCGACGTTTCCTGAGCCGGAGAAGGTGTACGAAGATGTCTCCAGCTGCGATTGGTGCGGGAAGTAGAAGACGACTGTACAAGTCTTCCCGGCGTATGATTGCGGGATGTCGAAGTTGTAGGCGGAGGATAGTGTTGGGGACACTTCGCCGAAGTATGATGTTCCGGGCGCTGAGTCGGGGTTGGAACTATCGACGGGGATGATCAGGTGTGGGTATTGGTAGGTGTTGCCTAGATCGCCGGGGCAGGAGCCTGAACTACCACCACCATTACCTCCTCCGTTACCGCCACCATTGCCGGGACCACCGTTTCCGGGGACGCCACCAGTGGGCGTAGCGCCCGGGGGTAAACCTCCAGTAGGATAACCACCTCCAGCTCCAGGCGATGTACCCTCACCACCGCCGGCCGTGGGAGTACTTCCAGGAGGAGTGCTTTCACCGCCATTGGGTGGTGTGCTTACACCACCACCGCCAGGGCCGCCACCGGTCGGATAGCCTCCATCACCGCCGTTCGTAGGTGTGCTTTCGCCGCCACCATTGGTTGGAGTCGTTTCACCACCTCCAGTAGGTGTACCTTCGCCAGGAGGTGTGCTCTCACCTCCACCGCCAGGACCAGTTGGATAGCCACCGCCAGCACCGCCACCAGGAGACGTGCCTTCGCCGCCACCATTAGTCGGTGTAGATTCTCCGCCACCGTTTGTGGGCGTACTTCCACCAGGTGGTGTACCTTCACCTCCGCCAGGGCCAGTTGGATAACCTCCACCAACACCTCCAGGAGGTGTATTCCCATTACCACCAGGGGGCACACTACCACCGCCGGGGGGTGGTGGTGGTGGTGAACCATTACCGCCATTCCCACCGCCAGGGCCAGTTGGATAGCCTCCACCAGCGCCACCAGGAGGCACACTACCACCGCCAGGAGGAGGTGGTGGTGGAGGTGGTGTTCCGCTGCCTCCAGGAGGAGGAGGGGGTGGAGGTGATCCATTACCGCCAGGTGGTGGAGGTGGTGTTCCACTGCCTCCAGGAGGCGGCGGCGGCGGTGATCCATTCCCACCATTCCCACCGCCAGGGCCAGTTGGATACCCTCCACCGTTACCACCACCACCGTTACCGGGTCCAAGTGGGCATCCACCACCAGGAGTTTGTCCTCCGCCGGGTGTGTTTCCGCTTCCACCTCCAGGGGTGTTTCCACCTGGTGTACCTTGACCAGGAGTGCCTCCGCCAGGTGTGCCTTCGCCAGGAGTGCCCTGACCAGGAGTACCTTCACCGCCGCCAGGTGTGTTTCCGCCGGGAGGTGTATTACCGCCTTCACCACCGCCGGTGGGATAGCCGCCGCCGCTTGGGGGAGTATTATCACCACCACCAGGGGTATTACCGCCTTCACCACCTCCAGGAGTGTTGTCACCGCCGCCAGGCGTATTTCCGCCTTCGCCACCTCCAGGGGTACTTCCACCACCACCAGGGGTGTTACCCTCTCCACCTCCAGGAGAGCTTCCAGTAGGATAGCCTCCGGCGCCACCAGTCGGCGTTCCTCCACTACCCGGCGACGTATTATCTCCGCCACCGGAAGTATTATCCCCACCGCCGGGGCCATTTGGATAACCTCCTCCATCGCCCGGCGGAATCGGAGGCGTAGTCTCGCCGCCATTATCACTAGTCGGGGTGCTTCCACTGCCGCCTGTTGGCGTGCCTTCGCCAGGTGTTTCGCCGCCCGACCCTTCACCACCAGTAGGCGTGCTTCCACCACCAGATTCTCCTGGTCCTTGCGTACCGGAGCCGCCACCGCCGCTACCGCCGCCAGAGCCAGCGCCGCCGCAGCTATCCGGCTGGCAACCGTCTGCAGTCAGCGTGATCTCGCCGCAATTAGAGCCGTTGGGCCCTAGGTATACCATGTGCCGACCGTCGGCGCCGGTGTCGCAATTGTAGAATGTCGTCTGCCCGTTATACGAGACCGTCCCGTCGCAGCCGATAGTGAAGCCGGCATCGGGGATCTGGCCGACGTCGCACTGCAGCACGAGGGACGGCGGCGTCCACCAGCAGCCTCTGTTCTGCCCGTCCGTGAGCGTGCCGCCGTTGATGGTGAAGCTGGAAGGATCCTCATCGGAGCCGGTGCGCGTCTGCCCGCTAGGATACTGGCCGACTGCGCCAGATATGGCGTCGCCCTGGGTGTTGATGTGGAAGGAGCAGCCGTTCTGACGCATGGTCAGGGCGCGGGCGCCGCTGCCCAGGGCCGAAGAGAGAAGAATCGATCTCTGCAGCATGGTAGCTTGCTATGAGACTCGATGAATGAAGTATACCACGCTCAGATATGGATATGGGATGTGTGTGGCTTGAGAGGAGTGGGAGGGATGAGCGGCGGTATAAGTTAATGTAGAAAGAAGGGCAGAGACAGGTCTAGAGAACCCAGACAGAAGACAAGATGGAAGTGATGAAGCTTCTTCTTTAAACTTCGATGTTTTCGCTGTGAAAACGTCATACTGCGGGAATTCTTTCATCTCGAGTCAGTTTCCATCACAGCATCATAACGGCTGTGCTCCACGGACGGTGAAATAGCCAGAGCCATCTAGCACCGCCCTTTACTCCTGTTTAAAATTGGGTTCTGCCATGAGCTGCGTGTGATAGTCTGGGTACGTTCCCAGTGAAACGCGTGAGAACGCGGTCAGTATGATGAGGATGGCGTGCCGTCGGGCGTCGTAATGTTTATTCACATTACCTAAAGAAGGCTGGCTGAGCCACAACGATCCTGAGCGACTAGAGATGGATGACGTCTATATTCCGACAACAACTGGAGCTGGTGTTGGGATGCTGCTTGTTGAATGATTCAGGCCGACTTTGAAAACACCTCGATGTGTTGCATATCCGTTACTAATTTGTTCTATGCCCGGTAAAACAGAAATAATGGAGCTGCGACGTCGGAGGTGAAGCCGAGAGGGAGTTGCGATTGACCAAAGAATATGATGAGGTGTGTAGAGCTGTACACACAAATCTTGTAATTTTATTTGTGACCTTCTTTGATGGGTTTTTGGTACAGGTTCCTGATTACAGCATCATCAATCGTTTGCATGTTTGGCTCCTGGTGACCGAGAGGTGTCTAAGCTCTCACTATGATTGGTGATTGAGCTGTGGGGAGGAGTCGTGGGATTAGCTCATTGCTAGCCCATCGTAGGGTTGACGCCAACCAAAATAAAAATAACCTACCGCATTCGACTAGACCAGGCATCGGGAGTCTCGGAGATGTGCAAAATAGCTTGATAAGTGATCGAAATCGTAGTTAAGGTTGGAAAAGAGAAGGGGCGAGAGGGGGAAACAGTTCCATCTTGAAGCGCTAAAGATGGTGTTCACCACTTTTGGAGAAATACAGAGGGCTGAGATCCAAAGTCCTCAGTCTGCCATAGGAGGCGACTAGTTCCTTCTAGCCAGATCAAGAAAGATTCGACAGCACCAAGGTGGACGAACCGGCCCTTGGTCATGCTTTTGTTGTACTGTAAGTTTTAAATCACGTGAAGATATATATTGTCCTCTTAGCCTCGATGACGGGGGTTGTCACGCTGGTGAATCTCATTGACAGGTGATCGCTTTGGGCGTGTGTGTCAATCTTGAAATCGAATGTATCGCTCCAGTAACCACCTCTGTAGTCAGGCAGCGGGTAAGGCGGATGGGTTCCATGACATCGGTTCTTATCCAGTTCCCGCTTTACCGTAGGTAGATGGTTGATGACTTTGCTAACCACTTCGCTAGCTTTTTGCTCGAACTTGGGCATGATTGTCTGAGTCGCATTCATTCAATGGCCCCGAGCCGTGCAGGCAGCTGGCTTTGGACCCATCCGGGAGCATATGATGCGCCCCGGGACGTGAAGGTGTGTTGCTTGAAGGTAGTTCGGCATTATACGAATGGGTTGTCTGCCGTCGCACCCGAACCTGTCGCGGTTTGATCATTAAACGCCTCTAAGTAGGCGCTATACAAGGTGAGCATGTCGTTGGTGGTCGAAGTGACTCCAGATGCTCCTTCAAGGAAGAGGTCCTGTCCGGTTAAGTATTCATCTGCGAGTTGCACATGCATTTAGTGGTGTGAAGCCCTTCGCAATGAGCCGCTCCATGGTAATCATCACCGACCCTTTTCTATATCTGCGTATCTATCAATCTTAAGGGATCAAATATATTCTCCAATCTACCTTGCGCTCGTTGATAAGGGTAGCAAATACGGCCGTAGTGATCCCCTTCAAAGAAGTTAAACCGAAGATAGAAACTGACCGGAGCTCGAGGTCGCGTCAGCGACACTGTTGACAGGTGCCCAAAATTGACTTTCCACTAGGTACTCGCCTAGGTGACGGACGCCAATGGGGCAAGCCGGGCATGCCAAAGATTCTCAAGATTCTTCCCAGCGGTTGTTCTCATCCGTTCCAGTCGATCAGGCAAAGGCATAGCTCAACGGTCTTAGCTGACCCAAGCCGATCAACTTCTTAGCCTGTGCCCGTACCCGTGCCCGTACCCGTGCCCGTACCTCTGCCCGTACCTCTGCCCTCGCCATGTTGAGTGCAGACTCATTGTTTCGATGTTTCAGTTCCGAGTCAAATTGAAGGCGTTTCTATCCAACGTTCGAAATGTGGTGAAATCTTAAGGGTTTGGCGATGGGACACGCTAGATTCATTTCTTTCCTGTGGCGGCCTCCAAACAGTACCTATACCGGTAGCTGTAACCTAGCGGTGCCGTAGCGGTGCCGTAGCGATGGGGTTAGGGGGGTCTGATTTTCATTATTATGGTTTTCGCTTGAAAATATTCCCAAACATTACCTAGGTATATTCTACATATTCACAACCCCAACACCAGGGCTCTCGAGCCGCTACTGTGGGAATCATCCCACCACGTGTATAATCAGAGTATTATGCGCCGCAAGACTCAACATATGTACAGAGGATGCTCAGTACTGACAGGTTGTCGCACAGAGTTCATTTAGGAGGGATATGCATGCACCACCCCAGCACTACGTAGTATTACACCTTCACTCAAGTTACATGTCTATAAAACCTATAGAACCATATGTTGAAGATTCAAGTTCCAAAAAGGACAGTGATGTAGTACACATGAAAACAAAATTCCTCAGACGAAGAGGGACATGGTTTATCTAACATACCATTCCTATAGCCCATAACGCCAAATGCCCGTTGAATGCAGAATGATCGGGGCTGTATGCCCCCAAGCCCCAGCACCTGATATTTTCTGTGCCCATTCTATAGATATCAGATTGTGTTGTAATGTGTCCCAAACCGCCCGTGTCATGATTTCATATCGATTAAAAAGCAAAAAGTTCCTCCAGCGTAGTATTGTTTATAGATAGGTATGCGATATGCGATTATAATGCGAGCAGAGCGGCAATGGCCCCCAGGAACGTGAGGCTGATCTCGGGTCTATAGGCGGCTGAGTCTGGATCCGAGGACGACGTGGCTTCCGCGGCGCCAAGGGCTGATGTGATGATTGCCGAGGCGGATGCGACCTCGGATGGGTCGGGGTTGTCTGAAACCTCGGTGCAGAGCTGTGTGGCGGTTTTGATAGCGGCTGTAGAATGGAGGTCAGTAAAGAATCGAAGAATAATGTGCAGTATCGTTGGGGGCCAATGATGATGCACTAGACGATGGACAGGATAGATGGATGGATGGATGGATGAGGAACGATGGTGGGACATACTACTTAATTCGTCGCTGTCGCAGTGCGTGACGACGCATGTGCCGGCGCTCGAGACGAAGGTATCCTTGCCGGAGCCGCAGAGGCAGTCGAAATCAGTCGTCGAGCAGCCAGCGGCCGAGGCGCCGGATTCGAAACAAGGGATGGCGCATGTTGGGAGATTGGAGACGAGCTCTGGCAATGATGTCGAGTTTTGAGCTGTCACGGCAGCGGCGAACAGCGAGAGGGCAGCAACTTTGAACTGCATCGTGTCGGCGATTGCTGATAAATGGCTCGTTTTGATTCGTTTCTTTTCTTTTTCTTCGGATGTCTTGCTCTGCTGTTTGTTCGCTGGCTGACGTAGGTGATCTCAATCCAGTGGGTCACCTAAGATGCTGTACCGATGAATGCAGAGAAAAGCAGCGACGAGTGTCTTGCAAAGACGGTCGCAAGGAAAGGCAAGCGAGACGGGAAATGTGTGAACAGATAGGAAAGTATGAATAGGTTGACAGAGCTAACAGATAAAAGGGAAAGAGAGAGAGAGAGATCTATCAAATATGAGGCAATGCAATGGATCAAGAAGATAAGTAAGTAGGTAAGTAAGCGTTAGTAACGTGAGGGTGGCACACTTCATTCTTGTTAGCCACCTCGTATCGAAACACTCGGCCCTCCATAATTCAGGCGGGTTTGGTTGGCCCAGAAGCTGCCTAGCACTTGCAAATCACCAACACAGCCACCCCGGGATCCAGAACCCGCGCGCTATCCAGTGTCAGAGTTCACTGTGCCGTTTTTGGGGGTCTGTCAAGGCATTTTCTGAAGCTGTTTCGGCGGTTAATTTGGTCTGAAAGTATCACTTGTCACTATGCGCCTAGGCAGCCGTATTTCCATCATTGCTACATGAACACAACAAATACACAAACGAATACAGGTAGGTATCCCAGCGCCTTGTCACAAGGCGCAGAGCTGAGACCTTGAGGTGCTATAAGTGGCAGCATGGCGTTCAGCTGCGTCCCTACGAAGTACCTGTTTCCCCAGCCCCATTGCCTCACGTCGTCTGTCATCTTGGCCTGCCGAATGACGCTGTAGCGACTGCTACAAGACCTGTGATACTGATAATCAGAGCTTTCCACAGTATGTAGGGAATACGACTTGGTGACGTGTGGGGTTTCCGAATTCAGGATGAGACAATTCAGGGGATTCCAAGTCTATTCATGAAACGAACCGATGGGTGGTCTGGACAGGCTGGAGTACCTAGCTCGAGTGGGTTTCGTGCACTCTCTCTCGACACACTGATTGGCAGATGACGTCAGCAGAGATGATGGCTGTGCCACAACGACACGCGTACCTGGTGTCCAGGTCATGTGACTACCTACCCATTCTACTGATGACAATGACTTGATGTAAAAAAAATGATAGATTTATGGTGATTCTGCCCAGTGACTGCAGTTTGAATAGAAGTGAGGCCAGGATACCTCTTCGAGATACGCTCACCTTGTTAGCTTCGGTAGCGGAAGCTGGCGCTCTAAATTACGCGATTCAGGGTCCTGAGATGTTTATCGATAACATCACATTACCTGCCGAGCCACTAATCCTACCATTACCCTACACTATGTTGATGAAGTACGCCCAGACCGAGCCAAGCAAGCAACTACTCTCACGATAGTAGATACAGACAACTAGCGAAGACAGATATATGGGCATGGTTGCTGAGTAAATTAACTTCGTCTCGCCTTCCGCGCTGGTGTCGTCCCCGGCGGTAATGTGGGAGGCCAATGAAACTCCGGTAGCGGCAGGTAACCCAAGCTTCTCAACACCGTCACACAGAAACTCTCGACACATCTCTCGTTACTTGCTTGTGAGACTTAGTATATCGATGACGCTCTTAATGATAGTATTACGTGGCACAGCATTACCGTAGATCTAGGCGCGTAAGCGCTCAATCGCCAGGCATCGTTCCACAGATGAGATTGCTTCGATGGTAATTCGCCTAGTAGTACGGGACCTCGCCGCTTGGGCGCATATCTATTTTCAGACAAGCGAGTCCGTAGCACGAGGCCCGTGGTTAGTCGACTAGCAAACAACGACTACCGTCCGTCGTTGAGGCTCTACCAACGGCTCATCACCAACAAGCATTACTCGCTTAGATAGCGCCGCGCTGTGTGCCTGGTGCTACCTACTTCTTTATAGACCCCTCGAATATCAGTGTCCGAGGTTAAGTGATTAAGTACGCTCCTCGATGGTCTGGATCGGAAAGAGCACGGACACGATCCATGTCTCCAACGGCAACGAGAAGATGCAGAGCATAGTAGTTCACACCATTAATCAAATTGGACCCTACCCTTGGTGTCAACAGGGGTCAGAGTACTAACAACTTGCGTATATTTCTTTATTATCTTCCTTTATTCTGTCAACTCCTCCCTCTGTGTCTTATATATTCGTTAATGGGCTGTTTGTAGATTGTCCGCATCGTCAAACCCGTTCTCCCAATTTAACTACAATCTCCTACTAGCAAGAGCTGTCGGAATCGTATTCATTCAATTCTTCGGTGGATACGCTCGAACGCTCCCAAGAGCTGGTGGAATCGTAATGGTCTTCATTCAGTATTTCCAACATGGTATTCACATCCCAGTTAATCCATTTGAGCTGGGTTCCCCCGGTTCTCCTTTCATTCGTTGCTGGCTGAAGTGTCTGCCCATCGCCCGTGTTGTAGACGCTATCCTCTTCCGTGCAACTGCAATCATCTAGGATGCAAACGCTGTCAAGCTCTGAAGAGCTCCAATATTCGTGTTCAGTCGAGTCGTCAAGCATGCTGTCCACATCCCACTGAATCCAGCCGAATACCTTCCCATACTGAACACATGCGTCTCTGGTCTCTCCCTTGTCTGACGGTTCATTGGCATGCAACCCTGATTCCTCTGGCAATTCATCGGCGTTTGGTAGTAATCTGTCCACCAATTCGTGGAACGTCAAAGTTGATTCGTCTACGAAATCGCTACCCGATGCCAGGCGCTCAACTGTCGCTGGTTGGGATACTAAGGCGAGTCCCGCTGTATTATGAGCACCTTTAGGTGAGCCTTGTCTTTCACGCGCCGATATCCGCAACCACTTGAACCACCTGGCGAATATTTTGTCTCCATTGGGGAGGACGAAACTGTAGGACTGCTCTATGTTCCAGTTCGCATTGCGGTACGCCGATTTATGCCGCAAATTCCAGGTACCACTACCCCTAGTCGTATGATAGACATCGCAATCTTCGAAGGTCGATTTGACCATCCGTGCTAGTTTGTGCGAGCTTGGTGGTGGTTGAGAAAGCCCATGCACAATATAAGCGCAAATATTAGGCGCCTTCTGTTGATCTCGCAACGCAATTGGTGATCCATAAATCAAAACAGCCCCTGCACCCGAGACTGTCAGAGATTCATGGTTTTCTGGATCAACTCGTTGCATTTGGTGGGATGATGACATGTGGAGAAAAGGTAAGTCTGGCTCCAGCTCCCCTCGCGTATGATATTTGTATACATTATTCACCAATTGCCAGATGCAGACGTCACTTTCCCTGCATGGCCAGGAGTCCCAGGCCAGAGCAGAGGTATTGTCGATATAACCCGCAACCCTCGACATAGTTGCCAGTAAAGTGCGTTGAGCAGAAGCAACATGGAGTATGCGTAGGCGTTCAATGAGAGAATTGCCCGAATGTATATCTCCTTGTACAAGTGGCGTCCGAGATCTACGGCCTTTCAACCCGGATAACGAAACCAAACTTTCGAGGGCATTTTCAGCAATGGAAACGACGGTGAGATCTCGGATCTGTTCCCAGGAAGCAGACATATAGTACGTTATTTGGTGGACCGTATAGAACTTGACCCCCTGGAAGCGGTAATGGACCGTATAGAACTTGGCCCCCTGGAAGCGGTAAGGGACGCCTGTTCCTGACTGGCCAGTCCAGCACTTTTCTATATTGTTGAGCTCGTCCATTCCGAGGAGGATTGGTTTGGGCTCATTCGAAAATAGTTTGTTCAGTATCTTGCGTATGATGAATACTCTGTCGCTGTTCGGCAGAGAAGAGTTAAAGGTCGAGAGATTATCCGCTGTGACGAATATAGAAAGGAACCTGGACTTGATTGGGCTGATATGACGAAAAGCTCCGTGTTTGCTGTCAAACCTTCTGAAAGCTTCTTGCACACCGATGCAGTCGGGTGACTCTTCCATTGACCCTTGAGTCTCGTTGATGGCTGGCAAGGCGTTCCTGGACGAATAGATATCCGTGTCCGTATGTGATGTCCCAGTGTGACCGTTGGCGGAGGCTAGTACTTTGAGTTCGGTGAGAATGGCAGGCCGGTAGGCGTCGCGGGCCCAGTCCGCCATATAATCCACGAGAAGAAATAGTTGAAGCGCATCATCCGGATTCCTTATATCGCCATACCATACCAGCACGATATCCTAACAAAAATCGTATCAGATTCGGGATCTGTTGTCAAAAAAACTCCGCTTCGTCGATAACTTACCGTTCTACACATGGAGGCTGAGGTTCGTTCTTGATAAGCAAGATATAACCGCCAGTCCTGCCCCTTGCTCATGAAAAACCAGACCAACGGTCCTGCTGTCCAGCGAGATCTCTGCGCATTGGCTATTATAAGACTCTGTTGGGCATTAAGGTATGTGTAGATCGGGAAAGCCGTGTCCCGGAGAATAGTGTCCCATTCATATGCTGCCTTACCAGCCTTGGCTTCGACGACCATAAAGGGGAACAGCATAGACTCACCCCCGCCGGAATGGGGTTGAACTTGCACCAGAGACTCGAGGAATCGACCATCTGCAAGAGGCGTCAAGAGGAGATTCTCGAAGTTTCTGGTCTGTCGTAGCCCGTATATGCGATCTGGATATAGACCTTGCGGTAGAACATTTGCGAGTTGTTTGGGATGCTCAACTCTATCCTCCGCTCTATGTATAAAGAGATTGTTAAGTCCTACTCTTTCATCTCTAGGAACTTCGAGTTAGCAAACTTTCTATATGCATTCGCTGAAATAATGTTTCACCTACTCATCATCTGGTCTTGAGTTTCGAGGACAATGGCAACGGTCGCGATTTGCCTGACGTTGTCTTAGGCTCAAGGCCGCATTGCTGTCTCCATCTACATTGACTTCGACCTCAGATCGCCATACCCTCTGGCGACATCTTTTGCTAGAATCAAAGCTGATTAGCGTTCTGTCACTCATGACAGTCAGTGGTGCGCTTCTAGTACCATGCGACCTCTGCGGCCAATCGATTGAATATCAGTGGCTCGCAGGCGAACCTCCACGTCGCCTCGTTCCTCGACACACAATCTTTAGCCCTTTGTGTTAGCTTTCGTGCATATTCCTTAGCTTGACGTCTCCATGGTCTTTCTTCTATATCGTCCTGAGCTGTCGAGTACGTGTTGTACCTGTATGATTTGATATCTTCAATAGATTTGAATACATTACGATGGGTTGTCGGCCAATCATCTGGAGCAAGGACGTCTTTGAAGACAATGTTGCACTTGATCCGATGCCTCTCAAAGAGTGCCTGGTGCTCTTTCTTGATCGGCATGATAGAAGCATACGAGCTTCGTCAAGCACCCTCGTGGCCCTTACAGGATGAGAGAGAGCTTGCGTATCTTCGTAGGAGGTGAGAATTGACGACTGTTAATCAAGGTCGGCGACAGCGCAGGCAACAGCAAGCTGCCTACCTAGCCCCTTCTATTTTCTCGTTGATGTCTGGCCACTGGGTTACATTGGTGAGGGTGCAGGTTGGGGTTCATGGCAGCGTTTGGTGCTGCGCCACCCAACAAGAAGTCAGCCAAGCAGGGATTAAATTCCTTCTAGGCGCACTTGTCTTCCATCCAGGGTTGCGAGATCAGTTAATTAATATACTAGGTACAATATCTATTTCAACTCTCACGGAAGAACCGAAGGCGTTAATCCCGTGTAAGACTAGGAGCCTTTATATGGCATACCCACGACTCCGCGACACCAACATCTTGATCCCAAATGCTACGCAAGCTTGGAATCGCGAGTCGTCTCGGGCGTCACAAGCAGCCATGACTCCGCGAATGTTCGTCGTTCAACCGTGCGATACGCGCAGACACTTTCTCTCCTTCGTCTTCTGGTGCATGACATAAATAGCCTTGCCAATTTCACTATTGCTTATCCCGTAGACACGTATCGCAACCTTCGAGAACCTAGGTAAACAGTCACCAATTCTATAATCGCTAGAATTTCTTCCACCGTTTTCCCTCCACCTTATTACCACCCTCTTTCTTGTGCCTATGAAGCTCAGTCGGCACAATACCTTTTTGCTCCTTAGCACCGCTTACCGTTCCCCCGACTGCATTGGGCCAAAATTTGATGTTCAGCTCATCAATAACCTCTTTGACTGTAGGATCCTGAGCAATCCAATCATCATACGTCATAGTAATCAACTGAGCTCGGTCCAGCTGTGCGTACTCATCGATCCACGTCCGCGCTGCAATATCCGCTATGGGATCATCGGCTACGACGAGATCCGACTGCGGGTACAAACCCCCGTGTAAAGCGCGCAGCCGTGCCGGAATCCCGCGCTCACCGGTCAGCTTCGGCTTTAACCTGCCGGTCTGAAGATCTGCTGTGTATTCGGCATCTGAGTCCTTAAAGTAGACGTCTGATAGTCGGGTGCAGGACGAGAAGATCATTTCTGGATAGAGTTTACTCAGCTCCGGGCTGACTTCGATCATGGCTCGGTCGAGTCGGCTGGCCAAGATTACTTCTGGGTCCAATATAGGAGACCCGTCCTTGGGGTTTACTACCGTTCCCCGACGCGTATCATAGCCTAGCCCTAGGCCGCAGTGGACAATCTCGGGTATAATCTGACCAAACTCCTTCATCGGGTTCCTAAGGTACTAGAAATCCAATACCTAGAGCCGTTGCTCAGGGTTAGTAGTTCTCAAGGCTAGTCCTTCCCCCCCAACGCAACATCCATTATCGGTTGCGGGTAGAACACCATAATAATACCCAAGGCCATGGTATTCCAGGGTATGCAGTGCATGACAAGTTCGTCTATCAAGCTCCGGTACGCCCAGATACGCACCTTTCCATCGCTCGACGCCGTTATGATGACCACCGTGCCCCGTACGTTCCCGAATGTGAGGGACGTGGTGGGAGTGGCGAAGTCTGAACAATAAGTCCCTTGAGCAGTATTTTCAAACTATTCTTTCTAATTGTACCCCGGTGGGAGGGGTGGAAGAAGTCTTGACACGCTTGGTTGCTGAAAATACGCCCTGTTTGGTTTGTTCGAGTCGTGACGCGCCACCATCTTGTGTGCGTGCCAATGGTAAGAGTAACATGACCGGGCATGCGTGTTGGAATGGAGTTTGTACCAGCGGATGGATTTTCAGAGTGAGATGGAGGTTGGGTGGGAAACGATGGGTGGGTGGCCTTCGAATGTCTGAAATTCACTTCGCGTTGTCTGTCGGAAGTCTGGGCATTGATTGTCTCGTGAGGCGACTCTGCGAACCTGACAGCGGAATCTGCCTTGGCTGATGTTGTCACGAGTGGCGCAGGCAGTCAGACGCAGATGAAGAGATGATAAAATATGCCTTACCCAGGCTGATTGTCAGTATGGGTGACCTCTTACACCCCCTACTTCTACACGTGCGGGGATGTGGGATTCATATGCATCTTCACTGACCACCATCGCCCTCCAAGGACTCGTACCCACGAGCTTCGGTCGCTGCTGACTCCATCCGACTAGAATGGATGATGATTATTTTTCCTACAGCTATGAGCCGATCCATCACGATGAGGTTCGGCTGGTGAAATTCAAGCATGACAGCGACCGCATATCAGGTGTTCTCAAGACGTTCCCGCTTGGGGGACCTATCCCTCCTTACAACGCTCTGTCATATTCCTGGTTAAGCGAAAGCCCAGCTACTAACGCCACAGAAGAATGCCATGTGCTTGAAACTAAGCAAGGACCCCTCCGTGTCCTCGATACGATGCATAGTTTCTTTCGCGTCCTGCTCTTAAAGGGTGCCGAGTCGGATGACCTGTGGTGGTGGATCGACTCGATCTGCATTAACCTAAGGGACGTGGAAGAGAGGAGCCAGCAGGTGCAGCTAATGGGGCAAATCTATCGCAATGCCCACGCCGTCATCATTTGGCTGGGCGAGGAGTTAGACCACACAGATCGTGCTGTTGACTTTATCCAACTACTCAACAAGACAGTCAGACAGCAAACATACCGTCCTGGCTCCGACGAGATTCGCCGCATTTTCCAGCAAGACCATTATCAGCCACATTGGGCCGCCCTGACAAGTTTCTTCCAGCGGCAGTGGTGGTCTAGGATCTGGACTGTTCAGGAATATGCCATGAACACAAACGCCTCATTCTGGTGGGGGATGCGGAGCTTCAGCCGGTTCGCCGTCGAGGGGGCTCTGATCGGTGCGGACCAGTGCACGTCCGTCGCATTCAAAGGAACTCCTGCCTTTCGTCATGGATTCAGCCGAAGAAGAGTACAGGTACTATACAAAAAGGGGCAGGACGAGACCAATAAGCTCCACATAAGTTTAGTAGCGCTGGCCGCCTACACTTCATGTTTTGAGGCTACAGATGACCGAGATCGTTTGTATGGCATTAAGGCACTAGCCTCCGATACCTGCTTCCTAGACGTAGATTACTCGGAGAGCGTGGAAGATACATACCTGCGCTTCGCGAAGGCATTTATTAAGCACTACAAGTCACTGGATATCATCTGCTTTGCCTCGATATATAGCTCTTTGCCTGGCTCTGTGCTGCCATCATGGGCACCTGACTGGCGAGCAAGGATAGACCCTCTGTCGGTTCCTCTGATGGTCAGCCAAAGTGCAAAGCCTCATATCGGAAATCTTCGCCCCTTCGCCCTGACCGTCGATGAGCCCAGTGGTCCGTCGCCCCGCTATGCCGCTACCAAAGACAGCGTGGCCATATGCATATTCAAAGGCTTGAAACTTGTCGCTCGCGGAAGGATCGTGGATGTGGTCGATGGACTTGCCGGATCTAGGAATACCAAATTAGTCCAGTGTTCCGCCCAAGTGAACTTGACCGAGGTAGCATCTGGATGCATTTCAGCATCAGAAATTCTTCGAAGTGTGTGCAAAAGCTTAGTGCTGGACCGAAAAGATCGATTCATGCGCATTGCCATGCCTGCCGATGAGTTCTTTTACGATTTCATGTGGCTATGTAGCCAGCTCATGGTGGGTTCGGTATCGCTCGTGACTAAAGAGTTCCAGGAATGGTATGATTACACCACATCTATCCTGATTCAGGGGCGCAGCTTTGAGAACGTCCTTCGCGACAGCAACGAAGCCATCGGCGTCGGCTTGTCCTCATCAGCTCCGAACCAGGATGAGTACATCTTTGACTCTTTTTTTGGTAGATTCTTCGATACTGTCATGAGGATGTCGTTACGTCTGATGGTCACTCGTAACGGACGTATCGGTATGGTCTCTGAAAAGGCGAGCAAGGGGGATCTGGTTTGCGTGCTTTTAGGTTGCAGCGTTCCCGTTTTGCTGCGGCAGTCCGGTGGTGAGGGGGAGGGTACTTTCAAATTAGTAGGGGAATGTTTCTTGGACGGATTTATGGATGGAGCAGGCTTGGGTGGTGATGCTTGTCCCGAAAGGGATTTCTGCATTGAATAGGTTGGACTGAATACCCACCACACTACTTACTTTAGCGTATTGAGGTTGCGTTCAAGTGCAGATAGATAAGGAAGGGAAACAAAGAGCAAGGGATGGTGGGCGCCCAAGGATCGCAAGGCATGTCGTCGGGCTTTGGTACTGCCAGGGGTTTGTGCCCCAGGCAACTCTACAACTACACCAAGCCCACCAAGCAAATCAATCAAGTAAGTAAGCAGGTATGAACGTGAGATCCGCAATCTTAGGTTGCGAGCACGACATAGATTAGACAGTCTCGTTCCTGCCGATATGTGTAATGTTTATTATCAGGGACTTTAAAACCACGTTCATTTTAGTCGCCCTTGAACCTAGGTCAAGGCCTTACATCTGCCAAATACACAATAGTTGTCTCACATCTAATAATTTCTGGGGGACTGGTGCATGGCGGTCCTAATACCAGCATTTCTTGTTTATCTGTCTTTATCTGAGGCACCCAAAGGTCTCAAATTCACCTGTTGTACATCTATGCGTTACATTTTGGAGAGGGAGTTGGAATAGTTAATGGATTAGTCAGCTCAATTGAAGCGGTATTCAGAGGGGCAGAGGCGCATTAGTAATTGTCACGGCCCATAACGAATCCTTAACCCCGTGCAAGATTAACGCGCTTAAATGACAGTAACCCACCACTCCGGGATAATAATCATCCAGCCCTTATTGAGATAGACGTCTTGCAAGACAGTCCCTTCCTTAGACATCACTTTCATCACAATACCCCTTAGCACTCAAATAACAAATTCCTCCTCAGACTAGTGTCAATATGAAGCAATGGACTACATTAATGGATGGTATTGATAACCTCAAGTTGGAAACAACACCAACCCCAGCAGAACTAAAAGAAAATGAAGTACTGGTGAGAATCAATTGCGTGTCGCTTAACAACCGCGATCTTCAACGTACGGAACTTTAATACCCTTCGCTACTTCGGTTGCTTGGGTATACGTCACACCAATGTATCACGTTCATCTAACAAAGGTGGATAGTGATCACCGGAGCATTCAAAAACCGATACGGCTCTCCAGCGAACGCCATAGTCCCATGCTCCGACGCGAGCGGCACCATCGTTCGTATCGGCGGATCGACAGCCGGATTACTTTGGAAAGAAGGCGACCGAGTCTTTAGCTTGGCGCGCTCAAACCACTTGACGGGACCTATGCACCCAGAACATGCAGCAGCCGGCATCGGAATCCCGTTGCCAGGGGTATTGGCTCAGTATCGTGTCTTTCCAGCAGCAGGCCTCGTCCGAACACCCAGCCACATGTCTGACGAAGAGGCATGCACGCTCACCATCGCTGCTATCACGGCGTGGATGGCATTAAACTGGGATCAGCCCATTAACTCACCGAGACGCGGGGAAGATGTATTCATTTGTCTCCAGGGGACTGGCGGAGTCTCGATCGCCGCACTGCAGCAGGCACATGCACTTGGCTTAACCAGTGAGCAATTCCCCGTACTAGTGCCAGGGTTTCTCTTAACACGCTCTGACTGACGGGTTTCAGCGATCGTGACCTCTTCCTCGAACTCCAAACTCGAGAAAGCAAGGGCACTTGGCGCAAACTATGTCATCAACTACAAGACAAACCCCAACTGGGACAACGAGGTGTTGCGCCTCACTAATGGTCGTGGAGCAGACGTCATTGTCGAGACCGGTGGTCCGGGGACGATGAACAAGAGTCTATGCTGCGTTGCACATGGCGGTACGGTCAGCGCTGTCGGAATCTTGACCGGGCTGATGGAGGAAGGAGGCGAGAATCAAATCGCAGTAGGCATGCGCCTTATTCAGCGCAATGCCAGTCTGAAGGGTATAAACATTGGCCCGCGAGACCGTGTCGAGGAAATGATGAGACTCGTGTATGAGGAGAACTCCGTGCGTCCGATTGTTGATCGGATCTTTGGCTTTGCCGATGTGAAAGCAGCATTAGAACACTTGCAGATGGGCTCACATCTCGGGAAAGTCGTAATTAGAGTTGGCGATGATTGAATTGAAAGTCTTAATTACTGGTTACATGATATCATATATTCCATAAGAACGACCCATCACGAACCATTATCTGAACATGGGGAGATGTTCAATTTGGTTATGGTGAGCCCCTTTTCGCGCCGCTGTTAGGTCATTAGTGGCCGTCGCGAGACTCCTTGAAACGGCTGTCAGCTTGGTGCCCCTCTCACCTGAAATGCAATTTACAATGACCACATTTGATTTTTGAAAATCATTAGTCGTGATTTGATTTCATTTCACATTGATGGAAACAATGTTCATCACTAAAGAATGGCGATAGAATCGATGTTCAAGTCGACGAGGCCTTCAGGTTTCCGAATTCCAACTCATAGGCCTTGAGCAAGTATCAAACAGTCGCCATATTATCCAGCCAGGTGAAATGAGATTGTTTTGGTTAGTAAGTAAGAGACATTCGACCTAGGAAGGGCCTGGAGGCAACGGAAGAATCCTATTGGCTACTTGCTCCCATACGTTCAATGAGCCTGATATCCAGACCAAACTATTCGATGCTAAACACGACTCTCACCGGATCTAGCCAGAGGCGGGCTTTGAGAAGCTACCGTGTTTCATTGCCGTCAGTCGTTGGTGAAGAGTTACCCTACTGAACAGCCCAGTGTGACGTGTCAATCAGAACATGATCCTAGAAAGTCTTTTAGCCAACCGAAACAAGCATGTGGGCTTACATGAATCATTTATGGCGGGGATCTTCAGGTGTCATTGCCGGCATGATGCATAGCACATTCACTCTCACGTAGCATCTTCCCGGTGCATTCAAGTTTAAGACGGAATAATGCTTTAATAACTCAACCCCCTTAATAGACGTATTCGTACCAGACCACCCAAGTGCCGTGAATCAAAAGATGGTGGGCGTACATCGATAATTCGCCAGGAGTAAGCTCACAACGGCGCCCGCTACTAGTACGTAACACCGGATTGAACTCGAAAGCAATGTTGATTGCTATCCCGAGGCAAGGCCGGTGCCGAAGCGGGGTAGGAAGGGTTCCCGGAAATCCTCATGGCGGAAGCTTGTCTCATTCGTTGCGCCATGCATAATGTACATATAATGAGGCTCTGATTCCCCCGTATCTATGCAGCGGTAGAGAAGGAGGAAATCTGTATTACCTAAATACATGTCCTGATGATGAATATTAGGCTTCGAGTCGCGTTATCGATCGGCTTCGGTTGGTTTGGTGTGGTGGTAGGTATTGAGACGGGTGAAGGAGAATGAATATATGAGATACTGTAAAGAAACTATATTTGGCTTACTGAAAACCTTCTTACGAGACAAGGCTACCCGCATCTCGACCCCAAGAATGACTGCCGAATAATTATTGCAGGGGTGCGCGGTGCGGACACCTTCCGCAACGATGAACTATCCATTTATGTCCCATCACTTAGCCTCTCCATACCAATAACTGCTGCAATCTAGTAAGAGGACCATCTACCGAATTAATTTGAAAGCAGTGTGACGGCAGATCTGACTAAGCTTCCATGTTGCAACGTTGGTACACCCTGTATGCATGTTGGGTGCTACAGCAATATCTCGTGAGTTGCTAAGGAGGATTCATATTTGAGGAAATATGTTGAGGGTTTATTGAACAGGGAACTTGAAAAATATGTATCTCGAGAATTAGTCACTGAGGCGGCCTTTCAAGTTTAGAAACCTTGCTCGCGGATCCTATCTCTATTCGGTAGGAACAAGTGGTCTGACTTGATAAGTTGAATTCATGTAGACAACATAGAAACTTGGGGATCCTGCTTAGGTTGAAGCTCTTTTAAGGTTTCACTATTCCGCTGTAGTAACGTACGATGAGGAACGAGAAAGCTTGCTAACCGGAGGTCATACTCTATATGCATCGTCATCTCAGTTCAATTGAGGAAACTACATTACGAGTACAATGTGCAGTCACTGCTTCTCTATAGTCACACACCTTGCTGTTCTCAGCCAGATTACCAGTTATGAAGTTACTATAGCTCACTGGGCATTATATTGTAGACTCATATGAATCCCACCGTTGACATCGGATCTAGGCGAGCCTCAGTCGCATCCATTCCATTTCAACCAATAAGCTCTGCATGTGAACTGCTTTTGATCCTACCTTGAAGCTAGCACCCCAACAACTTTTAGAAACGAACTACCTCCTCCTTTTGTTTCTCCTTTGTGGACGAGGAGGGGTTGTAATAGTTCATTGTGATGCAGTATTTTGTTTCGAGGAATCTCGCCAACCCCCAATTGCCATGATTTGCTTTCCCTGTCCCCCGCACATAAACAACTTGAAATTTCTCATTCCAGAACAGTTCGATCGGAATAAGTCAAATTTGGGTGGCCGTCAAATGCAGGAAATGAGTTTACATCCCAATCCCTTTTGACGTTGATTTTCCTGACGTTGGTAGCACTCGCACGGTGAGGCGCTATTTCGAGGTATCAGTAATCTGAATCATAAGTGGGCGAAATGATCGGTCGCCTTCAGGGTGGGTTGGACTAACTCTCTATATTAGTGAGACGATACTCTTCTTCTCTTAACCTATGGAAGTTGTCGGGGTCGGCCGCACGGCTTGACTGTGGTGATGGGATGAGGAATACCCTTTTGAAGACTGGGTAAGAGATAGGTAGGTTCGCAGTAAGGACGCCTAATAATGGAACAAGCGACGTAGTTATGCCGATTTCTAGGAATTCATACGTTATGTCAGGGGAGTCGAGTTCGGAGATGAAATGAAGGCGGACAGAGGTGAAGATGATAATTCTAAGAAAGCCTGCTGATTAATACACATGATCAAAAAATCAGGGTACTAGAGCTGATTGAAAAACATACATAAATCCCAGTCCAAAAATGAATGTCAGAGAAATCTTTTTTGCCGTGGCTAGATTCAGTCTCCAGAGGAGAGGCATGGGAAGCGCGATCACGACAATATCAATACCGAGGTCTATCGACGCCACTGCCGTTTTGTTCGTGACCATATTACTACAGTGTCCAGGTATGTTCGGGAGCCATAACTTCTGAGGCGGTATGCAGAAGAAAACCTGACTGAAAAAAGCCGCGACCCAGAAAGCAATGGCAAAGGCCATGACTCCGTATACCAGATAGCGGAACCACTCCACGGGAAAGGTGACGCTATAGAAGTGCAGTATCGACACCTTGATCAAGACGACGAGGGTAATCCACATCAGATCGGTCGCATAGATAAGCTAGCATCAATCGTTAGAGTTGATAGCGAAGAATGCTCAACGACAAACCTTGTGGAAGATGACAATTGTGTCCGGACCACCAATGCTGTCTACTTCGTTGATATGGAGCCCTAGGCCACACTTCACAACGAGAACAACCATCAAGGCATATCGGGCAGTTGCGATAACCTAGAAGGCGCTGCGTCAACCTTTCATGACTTTCATCGCCAGTCTCGAGAAGAAATTTGCAGATGTACAAACCAGAGCCGTAAGAACCAGATAGTCATTAGCTTGGAGCTGGGTTTTATTCAGTCGCCGCGACCAAAGCCTAACGCTAGTGCAAAGGAAGGCGATAGTGAGGAATACCGTCTCGACGATAAGATCGGCTCTCCCCAGTGCGTTATGCGGAAGCGCACTTGCAAAGGTATTCGAATACGCAGTCATTGGGTAATTGTTCTGATTATCACAAAAGATGGTTCGGTTACGAAAAGGTGACGAGAAAGGGAGGAAAAACATCACCAGATGTTGAACGTAGGTGGGGCTATATAATAACCGTTACACCGCTCGAACGTCTAACGGCGTCGTTTTTGACGTTCGAGACCAGACTTATCAAACCATTTAATATGTGGCACAACGAGGGATCGATAGGTCAGAATACCAATTACACAAACCAGCAAGTCCAGAGTTTTGGTTGTCTTAGAGGTGACTGGGATTTGTCCTTTTTGTAACATCCAGTAGTATCCCTATCTACAGCACACAGATGCAAGTTGCTCCTTCTCAATACTACCCTACGTTACTCTCAAAAACTTCAAAAATGACAAGCTTTCTGCATGCCAGGTGTCTGCCAATGAACTCATCTTGGCGTAGCAGTTATTATGCCAGCCTGCTGTCGACAGACTACTTTGAAGAGATGATCGGCATAAAATGCGACATCTGGGAGGGGAGACTGAGCTTTCACTTCACCTTGACAGGAACGCCATACAACCCTGTCATCATTACTGCCCCAAAAGGGAGACGTGAGTAAGATCTGTTGCAAAGAAATGATGCCGTCGTATTGTACGTACGTCTATTGCTGATATGGTATTAAGAACAGTACTATTAGTTTGATACACCGGATTGAAACTGTCGCACTTTGCCAAAACGACATCGTGGGATGCATCACATTTAACAAAAGACATGGAAGTTTATTTCTCATAATCATAATTGGACCACTTTTCTCAAGTTTAACATGATTATGATTATGGAAAGATCAAGGGCTCTGGCTGTTGATGGAAGGCAGTAGTAATAATCCACATCTGCGCGCTGCCACTCCCCTCTTGCACGTCTTTAGCCCCCAGGATGCCGTGCATGTCCGCATAGTCATAGGTACGGTGCTTCCAGATTGCCTGCTATAGTATGTTACAATACCCTCCGCCTGGGTTTATATATCTACCGGCTGAAGCAAACCAGTTACCCATATAGGTACCTGTACAGATGTGTTAAACCCATTTCCCATGCGCAGAGATTTGGCGGAGTTGCGCTTATGCTTTATGTCGGCATTTCCTTGATGCTACGGCGATTGTGGCTAAAAAAGGGGGCATTTGGGGTCAAAGCCACTTGTGGCTAATACTATATAGCTCCATAATAGGGGCTTGTCGCAAATTCTCACGATGGCTCCGTGAAGTAAGCTATTCAATTTTCATCCATTTTCAATACGAGTACTTTCTATATTCAATTGGTTGACTTCAAAGTTATATACTATTATATGTTCTAACTACACCGATAACCTGCTCCTTCTCTAATCCACCTGAACCTACTGGGCAAACTTCCATATCTCGAATTTTCTTCTGTATCGCCATCTCCTTGCGCCTTGCTCAGCCTCTCTTAGGCTTCTCTCTTCGCTTTAGGATGGCCTGCATCCGCCGCTTTTCTTTCCACAGCTGCTCATCAATCGCTCGACGACGTTTTTCGTCAGCTCCGCGTTTCTCTACTTTTAAGCGTCAAATTTCGTTGAGTCTTGCCTCTTTAGCCGCTTCTTGCGCCGCGTGTCCCTTTTCCAGAGATGCGATGAAAGCTTGTCGTGCTTGTTCCAAAGCCTTCCCTTCTGCAATGTTGCGCTGCAATTGCTGCCACACTTCGTCCGTTATTCCAGGGTCACGTTGAGGTGAAAACTCTACGGAGCCTTTTGGGTTTAGTTGTTTTTAGGTCTCTATTTCTTGTGGAGAGGACGGTTTTCCTTCATTGACCTTTGCTGCAACGGAGTTGGCGCTCGGGTGAGCCTTTGGACCCATCTTCCGAATAGGGAGGCCATTAGCCTGAGATAGATTTCCTGAACCTTCGGTCAGTTTTGCCTGGGTTTTTGGTCCAGTCTGACCTAAGCATTGGCCTATTAGATCAGACGCGGAGCATTCAATGTAGTCTCGTGATGCTAGAATTCCCATGTCGTAGTATAATTGGCTGACCTTGCGCGCCACCGTCGTTTTTCCAGTTCCTATTCCCGTACTCAATTAGTATACGACTCTCATCAAAGATATGGTTAACTGCCTTACCTGGAGGGCCCTTGAATAGGAATGTGAACGGAATCTGGGCCCGAGCTGCTATGCTTAGCTATGTAACCGAGTAGATCGCGCTCAGTATAGGTGATGTTGTGATGAACTTGACGTCCATACCTGGTCCCCTTTGTCTATGTAACAGGTCTCCTAGATATTCAATTACTCGCTTAGTTTGGCTCCTCAGCTATCAACTTCATTATAATGATACCCACTCGTTTGGCTTCCATCTATACTTCTTTCTCTGTATAATGGTGGGAGTTCGCTTCAAGCCTCCTTACCGAGCACTCCGCTGATTGTCTTAGTGTTGCCTACAAATCAAGAACACCCTGATGCTGCTGCGCTTGCCTCTCAGGTGACGTAAGGCAAGTTCGTTACAACATCACCCTTGAATTACAATTTTCTCGAGCCCCAACAGGACGCGATAGGGCTACTCAACTGCATGCTTTATATGCTACAGAACATGCTTGAGAAGCCAATGGATATTTATTAGTCTGCTAGTACTAGTGGATCGTTCTGGCCTTCGCGAAGGATTTGCCTCATCCGGGAATATAGAGTTTTATCTTCTCTCTCCCAATTTCCATTATCAGGAAATACCACGTCCCGTAGCTTGACGACCCAAGGTATCAAAGGTCTATAGTATGGGGTAAAGTGCGCTGATACAGTATTATTAAAGTATGGTCTTTTAGATATTGTTCCTAGCTTTAGTCGAGCTAGCTCATCGGTATCCTCTATATTCCACTTCTCAAACTGCTTCACAGCTTTTCTTTCATTTGGCCCATCATAATGAATGCAGAGCCAGAAGAGAACCCAGAAGAACGACTCGAGATCGTCCATAAAGGAGTGACCTTCGCCCATAAGGACACCAATTGCCATGAAGGCTCTCGTACCAGTGATTCCCTTCGCACCGGACGCCTCTATTCGATCCACATGAATTGCAAGGTCTAGATCAATCAAAAAGGAAGAGCCCTTGTTTATCATGAGATTATTGATGGAGATATCTCTGTGAAGGAAGCCAGCCTTAAGAAGAGACTCATGCCCTATAATACATCCTTCTAATGCAGCGAGTAAGGCAGCTCGGGAACTTGCCTTATAGATGGGCTCCCCATAGTCGCAGAGAACAATGCGTCGGTGTATCCGATTAAGAAGAGTTTCGTTATCGTGCTTTGTTGGAGATGTAGAACCTGAACGAGAGCGTTTGGCGGGTGGAAGCAGGGTACCAGTCTGGCTGGATGATCGCTTTGAGCCGGTGACCCGCAAGTTACGTGCGCGCCCGACTCGATAGTTGCTTGCTCTTGTGATATCCAGCCCTCTTCGAACATTGCTCCGAATGTTGTCCTCTTTTCCCTGTATATATACCGTCTCGTGGTAATAATGCCGCGCTACGTTTGTTACCTTTTGATGCGTCGCTTGCTGTAGCAGTTCGCCTTCCTCATCGCGTTCCGGGAACTGCCATGAATCCTTAATAACAAAGGGCTTCGACTTGCCTCCTTCTAAATATGCTTTCCAGCATATAGTCGCACGGCCTACTATGCTATGCGCTGGTCTAATGACTTTGTCTAGAATAAGACGCTCCATCTTTGTATCCTGTTGGATTTCGATATATTGCCGGTGTTCCGATTTGATAATTGTAGGGTCGAAACCGAGAGCTTCATCGTCCATCCAAAGGAAACCAAGAATTGTCGATACGAAACGCTGTCCGTCCGTATTAATGTTGAACTTTTCCGATGCAATGCCTCCAAGCCGGTCGAATTCCCAAAGCCGCATCCAATCTCCGCATAGGGTAAAGGCTAGAATAAAGCGCCGCGTAGGCTGGGCAGTAAAAACCTCCCTCACATATCTTGCTATGTCGAGGTGGGCCTTGGATGCTATATCGTCGTTCGAGTTGCTCTTAAGCTCGCCAGGTACTAGGATATGTGACCAATGGTACTTTCCGGCTCTAGCTTTATCGGCCTTCGGGTCGTCCACAAGCCCAACGTCCAGCTTACGCTTCGCGACTGAGCCCTCGAGTGGTGTGTCGGGCTGCGCTAATGGTCTGCGCGTTATTGTTGGTCTATACTCTTGCGCCCATCCTAAAAAGCGTTCGATAATGTCGGCAAGCCAGGCCAGAACGCTTTCTTGCTTGGCATCTTTTGGCCATCCGGTCCAGCCTTCTCGGAAGGGGGGTTGCATTCCTTGCGTGCATTTCTGGAAGATCATTTCGGATGCTGTCTCAAGTTGTGGAATGCCACCCCAAAAAGCTTCGTAGAAATACGGAACATCGATGTACATAACGCCAAGTTCGTCACTCAATAACTTATCCATCTGATCTCGCTTCTCCGAAGAATTTACGACGCTGCTTGTATTGAGGCGCCATGGTGTCTGCAGGATAGAAGAGATGGGTTTGCGGGGGGGTGTAGATTCAGTAACAGCGTGGTAGACTTGTTCCCAGATATCGGTGTCAGAGGCATTCGTGAGCACTGCATCGAGAAGCGGTCGGATGTGATTCAAATCTAGTTCGCCGGAATCCAGAGAAGCTTCCAGTCGGAGAAGGTCGGTTCGGAGGGTGCCGCGACCCGTTCTAGAAGGCAGGAGGCGAGAGACGGGATGGTTCTGGAGTAAAGGGAGAAGGCAGAGTGCTGGATTCCGAAGCACTAGATATGTGTCAGAGCATTTCGGCATGAGTTGCATTTTGCATTTAGCATTTACCTTCATCGCCGACTGTATCGAGGTCGTCAGAGGGCCCGACGACTTCGTTGAATGCGGTGCGCGCCGCATCGAGATGTGTGCCGAGGGGGTGGGCTTGAATAGTCGCTACCTGGCTTGGATCCATTACAAAAGCGGCATCGTGACAAAATGTGTGTGTGGTTTGTATTGGTAGTGGCGGCGATGAGTTCGGTAATCGTGGTTATTGGTTATTGGGGGAAGAATAGAAATTGGATAAGAGAAAACTAAACGCGTCGCGCAACCCGCTGGGCGACGGTATTTAGTGGATGAGCCTAACGGCGGGTGCACGCACTCTTCGGAAGTACTTCGGAAGTAACCTCATTCACCCAATCAACCTCCTTTATCTATAAAAGGTTTTATGAAGGCCTAAAGCAATTCATCTTCTATCGTGTATAAGGTTCTTCCCTATGTGTTACCTTATAAGAGCCTAGGAAGCATGTGCGGAGTGAGGAACGTTTCCCTTCCCGCCAAATCACATATTGAAACATGTCCTTCTTTTCAGTAAGTAAATTTCTTATCTTTGATGCGTAACTCATGTTTATAATTGTCATTGAAAGTCGAGAATGTTCCCCACTTTCTTCAACGCCGTGACGATAGTCAACACCGAGACTTAGTCTCAGTCGATAGCCCTTTTAAAACTAATCTACACCCTCCGATACTAGTTTCATAATCTTCACAAATGCTGTCTCACCATAAATAGAATAGGAAGTATCTGTAGAAACCGTCCTCAGCCTTCGTGCCTGCTTGACCTCGTATCACACGTCTCATTCTCATTTCTCTCACCCACAGAATGAAATAAGAGCTCAGAAGAACAGCAGCGAACACGTGCGGCCACACCTGCACCCCGTCCTCTCCATTAGACCAAACCACATACACCTCGGCGGCAACGCCAACAATCAGTTGAACGCACCCTGTGAAATCGAGTAGCGGACGAAGGAAGCTTGCGCCACCAAAATAAGCATACATAAGCGCGTGATGAGCGGTGTTCAGCGCAGCAAAAGTTTGCCAGCCTTCACTGCTGCGTAACACGCGAAAGAACGTCAGATACGGCGTTGTGAGGTGATGGAAGCCGAAGTGCAGGTCGATGGAACTACCCCCAGCGCGCACGGTTAGAACATCGATATATTCATAGAACTTGGATAAGTGATAGAAAGTTCGCGCGATCTCGTCGTGATTCGGTGATAATGCGAGATACAGGAGTATAGCTGAAATGGCCGAGTATAGGCAGCTGTGCACTTTATTCAGGGTTCTTGCTCCTGGGATTGGGCCATTGCGGGATACATGGCGGCCAATCGCTAGCCATGCTATAATAAAGCATGTTGTTTGAAAAACCATAAATGAAAGTGAGGTCGACATTATGTTCATTGTGAGCTCCGCTAACATATTGCAATAATGTTATGAATAGTAATTTCACTAAAAGGGTCCCAGCTCTTGTATATGATCACTGGTGATGTGTATTTGCTTATTATACCTATGTTGATTCGCGTTATGCACCTGGCATTGCTCCCCGCACTCGGTCTGACTCAAGTAGATGAGCCAGGCCTGAACCTCCAACTTGAAGCCGAGCTCGCTTGATGCAATGTTTAGCACTCGGTACAAAAGCACCCGCTAACTCACTATAGCGGTGCAACGGTCCCGCTCTCTTCTCGCAGCCGCCGGGCTTGTATTCTACTATCCGCATGCTGAGAAAACCGGAGTGGTCGCCGCCCCACGGAGCATGCTACTCCTCCTCTCCCGACTGATGCCGCTGGCCGCCTTCCTTTTCTATCCCTTCAAAAGAACGCCTTTGAGCCCTTCAGCTCATCCATCAATAGAGCCGGCGAGGGTGGGCTCGGAATCAAAAATAGGATTTAAGGCTGTGAGATAGTTCGCCCGTACCGAATTCTGCTTTGCCCATATGATGAATGTCCTGGTTCAAGTCGAAATGAACCCAAACGCTATGGTTCACCATTTCCTATCTTGTCACCCACAATATGAACATTTCTGTTGTTTCTTTTCCCTTTCTTTTGTGTAATTATTCCCAAAGATAACAAGTGGCGATCCTGGTTCGGTGTGGTCTACGTAGTATTCTACAGCTACGATTAGCATACCATCATTAAACTCGTATACAAGAGGTTCCGATTAGTTAGTACTCCAGGCACTTGTTGTAGGTACATTGCACGCTTAAGCGTCCCGATTAATGTGCAAGAAACCGTCTTTGTAAACAGTCCCCGTGACACTGCCAGTCCATTTATCTTTTCGGCTCTTCAGGAACTCTTTGAGGCTCGTGTTCTTGCCCTCCAGCTCGCCCCCTTTGACTTGGTACATCCACCAACCCGTAACGGGCTTGACAGTGTAGCGCGCACCATTATCGGAAGATTCCTGCTGCGGCGGTTCGGAGGTAAGGGCCTCCATAGCCACGGAGCCCGCAAGTAGCTGCGTATCCACCATAACCTCCGTCTCCGGATTCTTAAGCTTCACAGGCACGGACACGAACCCAGCCGGGACCTGATTAAGATCGACGCGATAGCCAGCCCATCCAATCTCCGAAAGGGGATGCAGAGATAGTGGTGCGCTGCTATCCGGAGCAAAGGCCTTCTGTGCGGCGTCCTTAGCCCTGTCCTGCAGTCTTTTTGTGATGCGGAATTTGCCCTCTTCATCCCATATCAAGAAAGCGGTGATCCACCCACTGAGATGATTCATGCCACTACCTCTCTGGTGATCGATCGCGCGAGACCAGAAGTCCCGTACACGCTCATCAGCCGGATTGTCGAACGTCTCCACGAATCCACGCACAACAGGCCGCAGCACATCGCGAAAAAGTTGAGGCTCTTCGCCATATTCGCCTAGCCGCTCAACGCGACTCGCGAGATCTACCCAATCGGCGCGGTCGCCGAGCAGGGTCGCGGTGGGGATACCGCACATGCAGGCGTCAAACACATACTCAAAGTATCGCTGCAGGGTGCCCATCATGCATACACTCGCCACAATCACGTCCTCCTTGGTCGTTGTAGTCCAAGAGGGCATGATCCAGGCCCGAAGGCTAGGATCCGTGATGTTCGCCTCGATGAGACGAGTCATGTTGGTGCACATATCGCCATAGTCAATGGTAGCGAGAGAGTCAAAGTACTGTCGTAGGATAAGACCTACCTTCCCGTCATGGGCGACAAACTTATGACGCAGGGCCTCGGCGTTGGCATTCACGTGAAAGCTGAATTGTGTGAGGATGGCAAACCAGATGTCCTCAGGACGCAAGATCAGGTGGTGGTGCGAGGTATAAGCCTGGAAGATGGTGCGTACGAGCCTGTTATCACAAGGCGAGATGGCGCGGTTGCTGTCGCCGCCGAGTGGGTAGGAGGACTGGATGATGGTTCCAACCTCTGGGCGCTTGGCGGGGGCCGCGCCAATAAGGAGTGCTTCTGAAGTGAGGCCAGTGTGGCACGACTTGCCACTGACGGGGTTGGCGTCGTGTTGGGCGATCTTAATAGTGACAGGCATGGCTGACTCCCGACTTCAGTTGCTAGACTTGAACTTGAAGATAGTAGTACGAAAAAGGGTGAGAAAGGCGGAAGCCGAGGAAGAGACGCGTTTTGGCTAGTAATATTACCCTGCGTGGCCTTTAGGAAATATTATTCCTCGGGAAGGCCTGGTACTCGGTGTTTATAATGGTCATCTGCTGATAGAGGCACTTAATATAATATTACGTGACAAGCGTTTATTCATAGTTACCTGCTTGCTTTGCTACCCCGCAATCCATCTACCGCTGCTGCCTGATGAGTTCCTAAATGGAAGTTTTAGCAGCAAGTGTAACCTCAAAGCCCCTAATGTTTCGCTTACCATAGTGAGTCACAACTTCCAGTCATGAATTCTAGTAGAAAGGCGCGTTGGCTTTGCACTAATAAACAGAAGCTGGAAGTATACACTGTTAGAATCGAGGCCATGATCTTGCTCAGATAGCTTTTCTATATTCCTTGCCACTTTGCTGACTCATCGTCATCCTAATCCTATACTGGAATGTGAATATCTGTCAATTAAGAGAATCTATTTCATGAAATATGGGTAATAGTATTAAAAGAGATATGATACTCGGTCGGAAGCGCATGCCGTTAAAAGTTGACGTGAATGTACATTTTTGGACCTCCTTGACGGCACATTCGGCTCCAGCTGCGGTGACGAACCTTGGGATTGTAGTCGAACGCGTACAACGTCGAGGGGAGTGAGTGCCGCAGAGTTTACAAAATGGCATGATTATCACCAAAGGGGCTCCGATGATGGAGTCGCTCGATTGAAGAGTCGAAGATGTGTGACTCATGTGCAGGGAAAGTGAAAGGGGTGCGTGTGCACTTAGATTTATGTTCCCCAGGCGCTAGTTGTCTCTGAGAAAGTCGGATTTTTCGTTTCGTATTAGCCGAACATCAAGGCGTAGATACCAGGAAATATGGAGCGCTTATTTGTCGTGGTGTTTCACAGCGCTGCATTATCAAAATCGAAGATGACTTCCGACAATTTATTCACCATTATGCATCTACAGTTATCGACAGCCGTCTCTTGCGTTATGAGAATGCCTCTCTGAAGCGCCATGACTTCCCGATAGTTGATAAACCATCGGAGGGCATAATAACAGTCCCAGTTGGGAGAAGTAAGATGCGAATCGTGTGTATATCTCGCGAGCAGTATTAATATTCAGCAAAGTGTTGTGGAATAGGGCAGGCTGGAAGTTGCTATGCTATTGGAAAGGGCATCGTTATGCATGATGGGGGCTTCTATTTTTGGATCCCAAACCCTCAGCTCTGAAAACTTCATACTAACAATTAAACCATTGTATGCAACATTAGAACTTGCCTGAACTGGTATAGGTCTCACACAATCAGAGTTTTAATTTCTAAATCTAATACAAATCTAAATCCTGGTCTAAAATAATCATTAAATCGTAAAACATTTCTCGTCCGTTTGCTTCAAGAGATTATCATCAGTTTCTCCTCAGTTACGGCTTTCGTCATCGTCCAGCGCTGCCTTCTCGTCTACGGTCATCTGCGCCTCCGCTCGCCCAAAGTTAACAGTCACGATAAGGAAGAATGACAACACTGCCAAGCCAACGCCAGTCCAGAAGGCTATCTGGTATTGCTCACGGGGACCAAGCGATTCTTCTCCCTGCATTTGCACCGAGGTGGCAATGGCAAGGTCCGCGATACCGAGCCAGAACGCTATACCGAGGTATAATGTACTGTTGATCAGCGCACCGGCAGTGGCTTGTAGACGTCGAGGCATTGCAGTTGTGATATAAACGTTTGTGACATTGAATGCAATGTCCACGCCAATCGTCCCACTCAGCATGGCTGAGAACACATAAGCCCAGTATAGAAAACTCGTTGAAGGTTGACCATTTGTTTGCTTCGGAAGTAAAGCGAAAAGTAGGCAGCACAGCGTATAGCCCGCGCAAGAAATCATCATTAGGATCCGGCCAGACAATATATGCAGAACAAAGCCACCGGTGATTGCGAGGACGACTCCTCCCGCAGCAAGGGGAAGAAACCAAGCAGCAGTCTGTAGAGGCGCTGTATGTAGGACTGTCTCAACACTGGTATATAAGTTAGTAAAACTGTGACAGAGAAAGAGGGCACGATCAATGACTCACTAATAACTTGCATAAAATAAAAAGATGCCAAATATTCCATACGAGCAGAAAAGCCCGGCACACAACCGCTTCATGTATGTTGGCTTGAAAAGCTCGGCAGGAAGAAGAGGCTGGGCGGCTACCCAACCTTCCACATAGACAAAGGCGGCGAGGAAGAGAACGCCTACGATGAACGTCACGTAGATGTATGGAGTGCGCCAGCCATCTGGAGCATGTCCACCATCACTGAACGCATAGACAATGAGCACCAATCCCGGTACTACCGTGACCAATCCCCACCAATCCATTACTGCCCCTTGATCATGGTCGCCTAGATTCCGCGGGATTGTGACCACACCGACGACAACGACAAGGAAGACGAGGATGGAACCTATGTAGAAGTACCACCGCCAGTCCAGGAGCTGGGCTGCGAGAGCTCCTATAAGGATACCGAAATAGAAACCAATGCAGGCAACCGCTCCATAAATACTGTATACCAGGTTCTTGCGCGGTCCAGGTCGATATGTGTGACCTAGCAAGGCAAGTCCGGCGGGCAAGAAGGCGCTGAATCCGACTCCCTGCATAGCGCGACAGACGATGAGAATGGTCGGGCTCGAGCTGAAAGCCGCACCGAGAGACCATATGAAAGCCCAGACGTGTCCACCCAGAAAGATATATCGCCCGCCATAGATATCGCACATGCGGGCGAACGGAAGCAGAAGCGCAGCTGTCGTTAGATTAGGCACGGCAGCGGGCCATGTACGCTGCGCGTCTGAAATGTGTAGAGCGTCGGCGACCTCGGGCAGAACGATGTTGAAGCCGCTCACGAAGTATTCACACATCATCATGGACAAGATGATAGAGAGAACGAATCCGTATTCAGAATACGCATTGTGGAATATCGACGGTCGCTGCCGGGCAAGCCGTTCCAGTGCCGCCTTGTCCATTTCTTCGGCAGATGTACCTGCTTCATCAGCAGAGCTATTCGGCGTGGCAACGCCACCACGTTCAAGGATCGAGGGTTCCATCGTATCGTAGCAAGCAATTCGACGGCTGCGTACAAAGCAGATGAAAAGATAGGATAATGGATATTTCTTCCTTGAGTTCATCCATTTTCGAGAGACGGCATTCTCTATTCATATAAATAAATTCACGTTGCCGTTGTGTGCGGATGAGCGGTATGTAATGCAAGGGATTCTGCGAGAAGCGGCCCACGTACCAGTGGAGATATAAAAATCCACAATGGCTACTATACGATAGTTCGTGTACAATTTGACATTTGCATACCGGATGGGGAATAACCATCCTGAATGATTGGATATTGGCATCTCTTGAGAAGCGGTCGATGAGCTAGAGCCCACCTAGAGTGGCCGCCACTTTCAGCCTACACAAGTGCTCGCCCCATCGACTTGTGCCATTTGCCTCTCACCATGGAAATGTCGGATCTTATGCGCTAGATAGATTTGCACTAGGATTTCTGACTTAGAAATCATTCAGAGATGGCCCAGAGTTGCTTCGTGTTGAAGCCTGTCCATGATGCCACACATGGTACAACAGATTCATGAACTAGCCAATTACTAATCAGCGACTCGCCCAATAAGGGGGGACAAGTTAATGGGGCTAATTACTAACTACAATTGCTAGAGCTACTGCACGATCTGGTTGTCAAACGAACATTTACAAATGCGTGTCCCCAGCTTCCACTACAATATGCCACCGCTGACCGAAAATGCTACTTTCTCGTTGGCTGTTCTTGAGAATTGTCTCACATTAAGCGCTGAGACATTTCAGATTTAGCAGGGGCGGGAATGACAGTGATTGGTATTCAGCCTGTGACTCACGCGCCCGTGCTTCATGCGTCCTCTCAACAGAAATTACTATTTAGTTTCTATATTTAATATGCGTAATGGCATCCATGACCACGTTGAAAGGCGATCCCTTCGATTGGACTCTATTCGAGTTGGTGAGGAAGTGCGGCGATACCCGTGGCCTTTATGGCTATAATAGTTCCCCCGGCTGCGCCCCGCAAGTCAACATTGTTGACATATGGCGGAAGCATTTCGTCCCTGAAGAGAACATGTTAGAGGTGGATTGTACCGTAATCACCCGTGAGACCGTACTTAAGACTAGCGGCCATGTTGACAAGTTGCAGATTGGATGTGCGAGGATTCTGAGACTGGCGAATATCTTCGAGCAGATCATCTTGTTGGGAACGTGTTAAAACTTCGTTTAGCCTATGGTATTAATGGCAACTTTACGAATGATCTGAAACTACATGAGCAAACAGTTGCTGAATACCAATAAATCTTAATATAGGTTACTATTGGTTCCATTCCATCAATTGGAACTTGATCTTGCTGATTCTTGCGCAATGTGACAATCTCCAACACTATCTTTATCTAGATTGACAATTACGACGGTTCTCAACTTGGAAACTTGATAAAAAAGCACAACATCCGTAACCCAGAAAGCAAGTCTATGGCCTTACCTCCCGTGCCCCTCAATTTGATGTTTAAATCTTCAGTCAGGACTAAGGCACAATGTCTTTCGCTTCTGCTAGCATCGATAAATCATATGGAAATGTGATATTACCTAGATCCAGCCGTCACCGAGTTCAAGGGTTTTTGGTGGCCGAAATAGAACAGCATCTATCCCTCGTTCTTCGCCATTTCTAGTAATAGTAGCCAAGTGAAAATTTGAGGTCTTGTCACTCCGCCTTGCCGTTGCACCGAATAAGATTGACATCGCGGCGAACTCGTTACAGGCCCAGTCTACCATTACGGGCGAGCTATCTTCCAGACACGTGAACTGGGTGCAGCAAGCAATATAGATTCATCCAGTGCCTCCATTGGCAAGGGATATGAGCAGAATGACGAGCTTAGCACGTCACTAGGCATCGCGGTGGACTTTGATATAGTTACAAATGGTTCTGTCACCCTGAGGGAACAAGATACCCGGGGTTGTGAGGATGCCGTCATCGAGGCAGTGAGAAATTTGGTAGATGGCACTGAGTCATGGGATCAGATCACTCAGTGTCTAGAACCTTTCTCAGTCCACTCTGAAGATAATGGCTGAGAAGAAGGATGCTAAATGAGAAGAAAAACATGGTGAGGTGGAAAGAGTGAAAATGCTACGTAACCTTTTCATTTCCTTTACTGTGTTGCTGTGTAAGCTTATCGAGCATTAAGCAACTCTGCTTACACTGGCCTGGTAGGTGTCACGCTGTAGGATGTAGGGGCGGTCACTCTAGGTAGACGAATTCTCATTATCCCATAGTAGATCTTAGATCAAGTTTCCACTTATGTAGAACTTGCGTCTTGGCTACCAAATCTAGTATAGCCCCGGGTCTTGTCAACTTCGGCCCCAGCAGGCTTATTCATCTTTTTTGGAGTTATGAGATTTGCCCCATGACCCTTTGTCGATTTCATCAACATCATTGCAACCGAGCACCTACTACCTTAAACGCGATTACTAGATTTGCTAGTTTTTATCCAAAAACAGAAATTCCCGTTCACGTCTTGCATAAGAGTAAGTCTTGACTCACAGATTCCGCGAACTCGTCATCGAGTAGCTCGACCCCGCCTTTGATCCGCTTGTGGACCTCAAGCACGCCATTGATATTAAGTACATGCAACAATTGCCGCACAAATTCCCATTCCCGGCTTGGGGGTTTTGGTTAGCAGCCGTTGAGTTCACTATGGTATGATATCTACACGGAAGCTCCTCGGCGTCTCCACTACCTTATGAACAACCGGAAAGCATGTCACAACTGCCGACGTCGCCGGCTCCGGTGTGACCGTTCCGTCCCGGTGTGCCACAAGTGCACCAAGACGGGGCAAACATGTCTCGGCTACGGCAAACTCTACCGGTGGGCTGAGCCAGCGGCCCCTTTTAATAGGCAATGCCAAAGTCGAAGCGCGGCTGTGACACGTCTCCGGGACTCTGAATTTGTACTTCCAGACAGGCGCCACGGTAGACAGCTATGTAATCGCGATCAACTGGATGATCGTCACCGGCAAACATTGAAGTTAGCCTTAGCCGATCCGTTGCTACAGGATCTGAGTAGCTCATCGAGGCACTATCTGTCCTATTGTAGGTGCTCATTGCTTCGTGCCATTCTCTTGCTAGGACACTGTACTTACTGTTTACAGTTGCTTCGCGATTCTGCCAAGACCTTGTCGTCTACGATTCGGGGACCAATCCTTTTCGAGAGCTGATTCCTATGTCTCAAGCATATTCTTACCTACAGCACATTATCATCGGCGTGTCAGCAGTTCACTATTACAACGCAGTTCGGTACGCTACATCTGAACACTCACCTGTAGCGCAGAGCGCCTTGATAGATGCTCTCCACGCCCGCCAAATAGCGATTCGGGATCTCATAGCATTAATCCAAGAAAGACGTGACAGTAACCGCCATGCTCAAACACAGGCAGACCAGGATGCCTTGCTCGCCACCGTCCTCTTCTTTGTCAACTTCACACTGATTGACTCCGGCAAGGACGGCTGGAAAGATCATCTAACAGTAGCGGGAAGACTATTGTCCATACACGGCCCTGCCACAATGCCATTCGCACTGCCGGAAAAGGATGAACACCAATCACAACTGAAACCCCCCTCACCATCTTCGTTAGATCTAGCTTCCCTTTTGGTCCCAACTATATCTCAGAAACCATTAGAGGTAGCTTCTGAACCACTGACTGCTTGCGACTATGTCACTTCCGACACGGTAGCATATTTCATATGGAATAGCGCCCTACAATCCTTAGTGTCGTCTTCACCTTCATTATTGCCGTCATTCCATACTCTGGACTACGCAGCACAGCCCTTGACATGGGATGTATCAAAAGTGATGAGGATTCTCTCACGAACAGAAGCAAACAGCTACCATAGCTGCCCTGCCTTCCTTATGGGTATCGTTCTGCGGGTAGCTCGTATAACACAGTACCTCAAAACCAGCAATGATCTCCCCCCAGCCGCAACTCGCATGGACGCCTATCTACAGCTGTTGCAAGAAGCAGAGTCGTTCGATATCCAAGCGTGGGCAGCGGGAGTCTCAGCGCGTATGTTCAGCATTCTCGGTGCCGTGAACGAGCATGAACTGCGATCGCGATGCCATATAGCCGCCACGTATCGCGCTGCTGTGTGTCTTTACATCCTGCTCGTTGCGCCGGGGCTTCCGGCTGAGATACGGCGGCGCACGCGACTAGGCATTGGAGACCCCGCTTCATTCCCATCGCTACCGACGACAGAGGATCTCGCCGCTACCATATTCCAGCAGCTTTCCTTCATTCCTAAGACCAGTCCCCTGTTCAAATACACTCTCTGGCCGGTGTTTCTTACGGGCGTGGACGCGGTGACGGATACGCACAGGTTATGGGTCGTTGAACGTATGTGCGCGATGCGGGACCTGTGCCCCTGGGGCTTCCTCACGTCGGCCATGGAGACACTTGCAGAGATTTGGAAGCTGAGAGATAGCGCCATAAAAGGTGATAATAAGCATGAGGCAGGCTCACCTGGCGAGATAACTGAAGCCGATGAAATGGATGACGACGGTAGCGACTGGCTTGCACGACTCCGAGGCTTAAAGATTGACTGTCTAATAGTCTAATCTGAGTTGATTTGGAAATTGGGGAAAACAAGAACCGCTAAACCCGTCTTTCAATATAACTTCTATGCAAGTCTAGAGAAGCGTTCACAATCCAACTAAAGTACCATGAGCTATCTAGGGCGAATCACAGGATATTGCATCCTGGATTGCCGCATGAACAGTATACACCAAGAACCATCAAACTACCTTCGCTGCTGAACCAGGTTTCACATCATCCATCACGTCCGAGTGGCAACAATCTCCTTCGCAACCTCAACATACGAGCCATTCCGAATATCCTCAACAAGACCAACCTCAGTCGGATTCCATCCCAACTCATCCCTAGCCCTATCGCCCTTACCCCTGATCCGGCCCGAGAAAAACCCAGCAGCAAGCGGGCCTGCAAATTCCATGGCCTCAGGGATATCCATCGCACGCACAGGCAGACCCAGCGTAGCCGCCATAGCATCCGTGAACTCCCGGAACGAGACATCGCTCGTGTCCGTGACATTATACACCTTGCTGATCACTCCGGGTTCAGCACAAGCTTTCTCCAGCGCACACACATACGCGCGCGCGGCATCATCAACATGCACCACGCTCGTCTGCACGTTGCCCTCCCCAATACGCACCACAGCCCCGACCTTCGCGAAAACTTCCATGAATAACTTCACACCACTTCCTCCGCGGCCGTAGACGAACGGCGGGAGCCGCATAATGCAAACCTTGATCTCCCCGCCCGCTTTACTCAGGATATATTTCTCGCAGCGAATGCGTCCATTAATCGGGTTCGGGTCCTCAGGGGCATCTTCATCCGTCTCGCCGCCGTTGTCATCAGGCTTGACAACGCCCACTCCAGACGTCCCGATGAACAACCTTCTGGTGGATGGTGACTGCGCGAGGCCGAAGGTCATGGCATCTACAGCCGCCGCGTCGATGCGCACGACGTCGTCGTAGGGCTGGGAGAAGTCGTCGATCCAGGCGTCTGCGAGATGGACCACGATGTCGGCTTGTGCGGCTTCGGCTCTGAGGAGATCGAGGCGCGACATGTCGCCTTCGACGGGGACGGCGCCGAGACCGCGGAGACGAGCGGCTTTGGCGGATGTGCGGGTTAGGCCGTGGACGGCGTAGCCTGCGCGTAGGGCGAACTCGGTCAAGCGGGAGCCGATGTAGCCGCCTGCGCCGGTGATGAAGACACGCTGGGGTTTGGAGGCTGACATGGTGATGCTAAGTTGGAAGGTATTCGAGCTCGAGGGTAGTTTATGGTATGACCAGCTCTATCCAGGATGAACCGAGCGTGCGAGTAGTAGCAAGAACACTATCTGTATCTTAGGTAAGAAAGCAGAGGTATGATATGAATGAATAGGTAATTTATGGCGTCCATCCATCTTCTTCAACAAATGCGCGAACGCCATCACTTTATATACCTACATAGTGAAATACTCATTTACTTCCAACCTACATACATACCCATCACATTACGGGACTCCACAGCTTCGCCTCCATCTCTCAACAGAATAAGCTACGGAGCTATGAAGCCAAGAACACCTTTATTCCGCCTAAGCGGGTACTATACCGAACTATTTCTGTGGATGTAGTAGAATCCTGTCGGAGACAAGGCGAGCCGGCCCCGTAGCATCCCCGGAAGTCGTAAACAAGCGTCTTATATCCTTCAGATAGGCCGGTGAGGCGGAGTTATCGGCGGGATCTAAGCTGACACTATCCCCACTCTAACGCGGAGTACCCCGAATAGACAGTGATTGCGTACAGATTGAAGTATCTTGTGTTAGCACCGCGTTATTAACAGTTATTCCGTAACCCCCTTTACCTACCACCGCAACACCTCAACTAGGTAGGCGAAGCACTCGGCCCGAGAATCGTGCGAATATGGTCCTCATAACTATATTAGTGAAATCGGGCAACAACTTGTCTGATGGCGCTGAAGAAAATACGAAACAGCATTAGTCACTGTGGATAAGATTCTTACACATACCGGGGCATCTCCACATTAGCCAGTGTTCTGTGTTATATACTCATTTCTACTCTCAAAGCAACCTGTCATCATTATCCCCTTACTACGATATTTAGAGTGATCTATCGCATATGTAACAGACAGAACTAATTTTTGAGAATTGCCATTTTTTAAATTTGATTTCCTACTGTTCGATTCGAGACTATCAAAGACAAGCCCCATCGCAAACTAGCAGGCAGTCAGAATACTGATGGGATGATAATTCGAATCGCCAAGTAGACTTGGCTACTAGTCTAGTATTCTTTCAGACACTATACTATGACATGCCGCGTTGGTATCATAATGATTCGCTAAAAATGCCAGAAAAAGGGAACATGCCGCCTCTTGCTTCAGCTTGAGGCGATGTCAGCTGGCTTCCCCTTTTCCTCCGCTGTCGGTTCTAGCTCGAGAGGCGGCGCAGACCACCTTGGCTCATCAAGGGCGTTCTTCGCTAGACCTTCCTCAGCATTATCTCCTTCGACCTCCATCACATCATTCCCGTTTTTCGATGTAGAGGATTCTGGCGCATCTAGCTGCGCCGTGTTGTCCTGTTCAGCCTCAGCTTCATAATTATTAAGATCCCCGCTCTCTTCTATGACCTCAGCTTCCGGGGTCTCGGTCGGAGTGTCCTCATTCGTCTTTAACTTTCCTTCCCGTCGTTTAGGAATGATTTCCATAAAAGCTTTGCCCCAATCGCCCGTTTCCAGCCACTTCAACATGATTTCGAGAACATGGTTAGTAGCTAAGACGTGTCTGTGCTGAAGAACCATGTATTCGCTAATAGGCAGTTTCGCTGTTCTGACTTTCTTATCGCGTGCGATTTGATAGCATAGACCCTTTTCTCTATTCTTGTCGATTATGCCACCGATGACGTAACAGGTGTTTGGTTCTAGATGGTCCAGGGTATGTGGTGAATCGGCCGTCAAGTAGACGATGGACTTGTTCACGTCTTCCGCCTCTGGTTCGGGGACGGGTGTGGGCTTTGGGGCGGCTGATTCCACTGAAGCTTTCGTCTCCCCAGTAGAACTCTGCTGTAGCAAGTCGATCAATTGGCCGCCTTGAGGCCCAGCCATGCACTCTTTTGCGTCCTTGGCCGCTTCTGCGAAATCGCCCTCGCAGAAACGAATGCCTTTCCATTTCAAATGATGGTTCTTCAGTATTGTCTCGTTTCTTTCTTTCAGGTAGCCACCATATGAACTGATGTAGAAGTGTACGGGGTGCTGAGCTCCTCTGTTGTCGGAATAGCATCTCGTCACCTGGCTCGAGAGTGATATCAATTCCGCGTTGGTCATGTATTTTTCGAATTGGCAATCGATGATGATGCCGATAGGGACTTTAGAGCCTTTCATGGACCTGTGTCTTCTGCGATCACCTGGTATGACGGGCTCTCTACCTTCAGCTTTAGCAGCGGTTATTTCTTCTTCTTTCTCGGCTCGTCTTCGCGCTTGTCTTTCGTGTCGTTTGTCTATGCGTTTGAGCCGTCTATCCTCTCTACCTTCTTCCCATAACCTCTGTCTTTTCAACTTTTTCATCTGGCTTTTGGACATGGGCGGGTTTTCGCTGGATGCGCCGATGGGCCGTGCAGTATCTGTGTCGCGGGATGCGTCATTTTCTCCAGTGTTGTCGACGAGGTCGTCTTCTGCCGATCGCTTCACACCTCGGGGCTCATTGAATTCCTCGTTTGTGTCAGCATTGCTGTTCGGCTCGGCCGCGGGCAAAGTGTCCGCTTTTTCGTCAACGGCCGACTCTGCGAGTGTAGGTTCAGATGGTTCCATGTTGTGCACTTTTCTAGACAATTAATGCAATGTAAGAAGAGAAGAGCCGCGAGCTTCTAAGGATGAAGCCGTTGTATTGAAAAAGCCCAAACGAATGTGATGCTGTTACGCATGAATTGGCAGATAGAGAAGCAAAATTTCAATTCTTGGAGCTTGAAGACGTACCTATAGCTTTAGCAGGTGCCCCGCCGTAGCACAGGGCTAACCCACCTAGCTGGCCCCGCCGTGGATACCCTAGACCCAAGGCAAGGCCCCTGTGCCCTTAACGCGTCTGGTCGCGTCTTCCATCTTGAATTCTTTAATTGATTTCTCTATCAATGATGACGCGACATCACGTCGTCTCTCTCTCCTGCTCTCCATCTTAAATCCGAACTCCCACCTCTCCATTGTCTTACTTTCACTTATAAAAGCGGCCGAGATTATCTCATGCTCGATCAATATTACTCATGAATGTAATTGAGCAGACTGTGGTACCTCAAGAAGTGTTGCGAGTTGCCCGGAGATAGTCGATCTAGTTTCCAGTTTCCAGTTTATGCGTAGTGTTTCCGTCCTTCTTGTGCCACTCGCCTTCTTTCGCCCACCATGTCTTCGCGGCCAGAACTGAAGGTAGATAGCAATCCCACCTTGTCCTCTTCGGCATATACCAAGTCTCTAATCTCGGGAATCGGGTAGGTTGACGATGAACATGGATTCATAAAATATTTCAAATCGCTTCCATCTGTCGGTGAAGAAACCGTACGAATCTTCGACCGAGGCGACTGGTACACGGCTCATGGTGAAGATGCCAACTTCATCGCCCGGACGGTAAGACATTCTGTGCTCTACTACTGTGGATCACCGAAGCACTTGTGCTGACATCACAATCAGGTCTACAAGACAACCTCGGTAGTCCGACAACTCGGCCGCAACGATGCAAGCGGTCTGGCATCGGTCACCATGACCGTCACCGTCTTCCGACAATTCCTTCGAGAGGCCCTCTTCAAGCTCGGCAAGCGAATCGAGATATATACGAACACAGGGTCCCGCATGAATTGGAAGGTCGAAAAGCAGGCATCTCCCGGCAACCTGCAAGATGTGGAGGATGAACTTGGTGGCCAATTTGACTCTGCGCCCATGATCCTAGCCGTTAAGATATCTGCCAAAGCTAGCGAGGCGAGGAGCGTGGGAGTCTGCTTTGCCGACGCCAGTGTCCGGGAGCTTGGTGTCAGCGAATTTCTCGATAACGACTTATACTCGAATCTTGAGGCTCTCCTCATCCAGCTCGGAGTCAAAGAATGTCTCATCCAGTTTGACAAGGCTGAGAAGGACAAGGACCCTGAACTCGCCAAAATTCGTCACATTATCGATAACTGTGGAATTGCCATCGCAGAACGGCCGGCCGGTGACTTTGGCACCAAGGATATCGAACAAGACCTGGCGCGTCTGCTAAAAGACGAGCGGTCTGCTACCCTACTTCCTCAGACAGACCTCAAACTAGCTATGGGTTCTGCTGCGGCCTTGATAAAATACCTCAATGTTTTACAGGACCCTTCCAACTTTGGCCAATACCAACTGTACCAACACGATCTTTCCCAATTCATGAAACTAGATGCTGCTGCATTAAAAGCTCTTAACTTAATGCCTGGCCCGCGGGACGGATCAAAGAATATGAGCCTATTCGGGTTACTCAATCAGTGTAAAACACCTCTTGGAAGTCGATTGCTATCGCAGTGGCTCAAGCAGCCGCTTATGAGCAAGGAAGAGATCGAGAAACGACAACAGTTAGTAGAGGCATTTGTCAATGACACAGAGCTAAGGCAAACGATGCAGGAGGAACATCTCAAGTCCATTCCAGATTTATACCGCTTGTCTAAGCGGTTTCAACGCAATAAGGCTAATCTAGAAGATGTTGTGAGAGCCTATCAAGTGGTCATCCGATTACCTGGGTTTTTAGGGACCCTAGAGGGAGTCATGGACGAAGTCTACAAAGATCCGCTTGATGAAGCCTACACAAATAAGTTGAGAAGTCTAAGTGACAGCCTCGGAAAACTTGCGGAAATGGTTGAAACAACTGTCGATCTCGATGCACTTGATAATCACGAATTCATTATTAAACCGGAGTTTGATGACAGCTTACGTATTGTTCGAAGGAAACTGGATAAGCTTCGGTCCGATATGGAGAAAGAATTCCGCAATGCCGCGGACGACTTGAATCAGGAAGAGAACAAGAAGATTTTTCTTGAAAACCACAAAGTCCATGGTTGGTGCATGCGACTGACGAGAACGGAAGCTGGCTGTATTCGCAACAACTCAAGATACCAAGAGTGTTCCACTCAGAAGAACGGCGTTTACTTTACAACGAAAGCGCTGCAGGCCTACCGTCGAGAGTTCGATCAATTGTCACAGACGTACAATAGAACCCAAAGCAGCCTAGTCAACGAGGTTGTCGGTGTGGCCGCCTCGTACTGCCCTGTTCTAGAGCAACTCGCCGGTGTATTAGCCCACCTTGATGTCATTGTCTCTTTCGCTCACTGCTCAGTGCACGCGCCTACCTCCTATATCCGACCCAAGATTCATCCCCGAGGTCAAGGGTCGACTATTCTGAAAGAAGCACGCCATCCATGCATGGAGATGCAAGATGATATTCAGTTCATCACGAACGATGTTGAGATGAAGCGAGGAGAGTCGTCCTTCTTGATCATCACGGGGCCTAACATGGGAGGTAAATCAACATATATTCGCCAGATCGGTGTAGTCGCTCTGATGGCACAGATAGGCTGCTTCGTGCCTTGCTCAGAGGCCGAACTTACCATTTTCGACTCTATTCTCGCTCGAGTTGGCGCGAGTGACTCGCAATTAAAAGGAGTCTCAACATTCATGGCGGAAATGCTTGAGACAGCCAACATTCTCAAGTCGGCGACCAACGAGTCTCTTATCATTATTGATGAATTAGGGCGTGGTACGTCAACCTACGATGGATTTGGCCTGGCATGGGCCATCTCGGAACATATTGTAAAAGAAATCGGTTGCTTCGCTACCTTCGCCACGCACTTTCACGAGCTCACAGCCCTTGCCGATCAGTATCCCCAGGTGCGCAACCTGCACGTCACAGCCCATATCTCAGGGGCCGAGTCCAATGGCACCCCAGCCCCCGAAGCCAAGCGTGAGGTCACACTGCTATATAAAGTCGAGCCCGGCATCTGCGATCAGTCCTTCGGTATCCATGTCGCCGAGCTTGTCCGCTTCCCAGATAAAGTCGTGCGCATGGCGAAGAGGAAAGCGGACGAGCTTGAAGACTTCACTTCTAAGCACGAGGACGGACTGGGACTACAGTACAGCAAGCAGGATGTCGAGGAGGGTAGCGCAAGACTGAAGGAGGTTCTTGTGAAGTGGAAAGACGATGTCAAAGGAGGGCAGATGAGCAAGGAGGACATGATTGCGCGTATGCGAGAGCTTGTCAAGGCTGACGAGAAGCTCCTTGCTAACCCATTCTTCGCTGCTGTGAAGGTGCTTTAGTTCTTGCTTATATCCGCATAGCCGAGACTCATTGCTTGGCTAGACTATGTAAAGCCCGTATCCACGACCTGTTATTTGTGTTTATCTGCGCTGGCGTTGGGGGTGTAAAAGCGGGAAAGGGAGGAATGTACGATGACCCTATCAGTGAGAACTGCCAACAAGGTGTAATATAGAAACTAATATAAGTAAGGAACACATGGCATATGTCTCCGCAGTGTTAGACGTGCCAGTAGCCGCGTGCTTGTTAAGTCAAGGAATGGTATATAGATGAAATCAACACTGTAAACGGGCCACCGCGCCAGTTAGATACCAATTCACTTTCCACGATGGGCATGCCCGTAATCTTCTACGACATCAGTGATAATACGTAGTGATTACGGTTGTGTGTAATAATTACAAGATGATCATACAAGAAGTCACACCTTTGGCCTGTTGTCAGAATCCGGCACCACGCTTGTCGTCGCTGTAACGGTCCCTCACGCACCGGTAACTGAGCAGGTGTGTTTGGTACTACTGATGAGGCTTCCAAGGCTATTCCGCGTATAATTGGCATATCTCGAAAACATGGCTGTATCACGCAGAGCAAGATCGTGATAGCTTGATCTGTAACGTGGCCGTGATGAATAAGTCGCGGGGAAATAGGGGCGCCATTAGGGACATTCTCTATTCATTAATATGCGATTAGAGGAAGAGGGGACAGAGAAAAGGTGAAGAATACCCGGTATGTGATCATAATCATTTATTTCTTGAAAATTTAATGGTTTAAAGCGGTTAGGGTGTATGAAGAGGAAGGATAGAAAAATGAAAAGGAGTATATTGGCCATGAATTAAATATAGGTCGTCTAAGTCTAGACAACTCGGTCACTAACGCGCGCTAAATTAGAAGGTAGTTAGTCTCCTCCACCCCTGTGAGCTTTTGATGCTTGGACTGCACTTCATTAAACTATGCGGCCATATGCTTCAAGGTTTTCTAAGTCTATAGATTCTTCAAGTGGCGACATAATGGTAGTCTCATCAGCGACCAAGTGCCGAGTGAGATAGAAAAAATTCCGCAAAACCATTGCCTAGCGAGTTGAAGTAAATGTGGGTTTTGTTGTCAAAAAAAGAAAAACATGAGATGGCCTTAGAGAGACGGTTGCAAGTTCGGAGTAGGCGTGCTCATAGATTCAACAAAGGGGACTACCTACATGCAATTAGCCTCGTGCAACATTAATTGAAATATCACACCTTCTAGAGCTACAATCCTGACAGCAGTAACGTTAACGCCTACCAACCAATCCATCGACATGAATGGCTAGCATATGTCACCCGCCTGGGCTAAAAGGCCGGAGTGACGGGAAGTAATCGGGGCCAGTCCAAGGAGTCCGGCGAGTCCACTATTAGATGCAGATGAATATCAAATCATTAGGTTCCATCATCCAACGACGGCAGCGCGAGGACGAGAGCCGCTCGTGTATCGTGCAGACTGGAGGCAATAGGTTACATCTCGCAACGTCTGACTGGCAGCTTTTATACGAAATGATGGAGATGGCCCACCACGCCTCGGTTATGCTTAGTGTACGTGCTGTGCCGCATCTAATCGCGTGATATATATGTAACAACCACCGGACCTTCCTTTTCGACTCAACACTCTTAAGTAGCATGCAACAAGACTATTATACGGCTCCTTATGTCGTTGAGGTCGTCTATAGGTTCAAGATGTTTTGCTAATAATAGCCAATGGAACACTAAATGTGGTAGCTTTAAAGTGTTATATAAAGGCAGTTCGCAATCAGAATTCACCAGCTTCATCTAATCACGCTATTTAACATACCTTGTTCACTCCGCCCAGAATGAAAGCTCAAATCGCTAGCATCGTTGCAGCCTTAGCTGCTTGCACAGCGGCCGTCCCGGCTACCTCCGGTGCTGTCGCTCAGCCCGAGACGAGATCCGCTGCCGCCGTCGGCACCTTCGACGGCTCGCATCTCTGGTTCGACTACAATATCGCGAACCCGTTGACTCCTTACCAGTACACAATTGGTTGGATCAGCTTCGGAGTGTCTGGTTATTCAAACAATAGCCCGTCATTCTACGTCTCGGTAAGAAATATATAACCTCTGGACCCTTGTTCCCCCCACTCTATTCCTGCGGCCTCCCTGATCGAGCACTAATGTTCCACGATCGTAGTGCACTGCATTATACGATGATAGACAGGATGTGGCGGACGCCGCTTGGTACAAGTGCATAGGCTTTCCATTCGATGGAAGTGTTGAGGCGCAGTTCCACTTCAACGAAACCGTCAAGACGGTGAACGTCAGGCAGACATATACGGAAGCCGGCAAGCCAGGGGTGAAAGTCGGAACGGCTGTCATTAAAGGTGCCCTTCCGCAGACCTTCTCCCTTCCGTATACGTTGGTCTAAGGGTTACTTGGCACGGGCTCCGAGAGCTGTTTCGAAGCATGATGTATTACAATTCTTGGACATTTTCTTTCTACCTTCTGCCGATTTGTTGCACATTGCAGATGAAGCGGAGTATATATTAGCATAAGAGTACCATGAGTTTAACGATTGCTAGATGAGATGGAAATATAATGAATCTTTGAGCTCGTAGTTTCGGTACCAGCTATCATGCTAACCGTGCTTGGCGACTCGTTGTGAGATCGATGGCTTCACTGCAAACAACCGCTCTGATAATGCACTACCTGATCAAAGAGCACGTCAGACTGTAATCAAATATAACTTGTGTAAGGGATCATTGCTTAGGTCATGCACTAATCCATCCCTTGCATTCTCGACCTTCCGTGCCGTAGCAAGCCCAGCGCGATTCCGTGAATTTGGATAGCCCGTTAGATGATAGTTCTAGCTCAGACATTTGATTGGCCACGTCCGGTGAAGGTTCTGCGAACTCGGTAACGCGTTGTTTGAAGCAAAAACACCCCGAACGAATCAAAGGCACAATATGTATCGTTTCTATAACATAGAAATATAATTCCTATATCCCGTCTTCCTCGTTGTTTTCGCTCACCAATCATTTTGGGCATTTGACTACTTTCATCAATCTACGTCGGAAATTTTCAGATAGGAGCCAGGTCCATGCTGTGATGTTCTTGTACGTTCTAAACGTATATAATTCTACAGTCTGCTCTATGTAATACATTGCTCACCTCAACTCTCCATAAGCAAGCAGAAAACAAGGACAGATACGGTTCCATATCATCTTCTATTACCTTTTATTACAGACACCATGCGTGCTGCAGCCATCCTCTCTATGGCCCCCTTGGCTCTTGGCCGCGGTATAACAGCAGAAGGCCGGAGTTTCGGCACCAGGACCGGCGTGTGTGGCGATACTACTTGGACTGATGGGGTCACTACGGGCTCAGCTTTTACCAACTCCTGTGTGACTCTACTCAATGACATGAAAGCCGCGAGTCCGGAAATGGGATACGTTCTTACGGGGTGGAAGAAAGGGCAAAAGGACTATCTCTGGATTGGTGTAGAGGGTGATTGCGTTTTCGAGGTTAAACCGCTGGACTTCCATGATGGCCAGATCACGCCAATAGCCTTTGCCGATGTGGCAAATATTATGGAGGATGCCCTTAAGATTTTTACAGTTTCTGGTGATGATTGTTTCGGGGCTTCCGGAGTTATTGAGTAAATCTTTTTTTTTTTTAATCGGCAACACCTATGAAGGGCCCTAGTCCCCTCTTTCTTCACTTCACAGGGGGTTTGGATCGATCATTTCTTCTGCTTAATACTTTAACTTGTTTAATGGCGACGCTCACCGTGACAAAAACTGACTCGGAGCGCTACAGTGGATTGTAACGATGGAGAGCACTCTGGGAAGGTTGGTTGGAGGATCAATGGTGCATTTAAGCAGGATACTGGAACTGGTTGCAGGAGGGTCCCCGACTCCATATAATTCAATCGGTTTATCTAGAATTACCCTTTCGCCATCAACAATAGACAGCTCCTCATTATTTTATTGGTATTGATTGTTTACAAGTTTATGTTGGCATATAGCCGTGTAGCTATATACCAGTAATCCAAGTTCTCTATTTCCAGATACAACTCGAATGCCTACTCTTGAACGAACTTTCCCCCCTCATACCTCATGCTTCTCTCAGCTCAAGCTCCCAGATTTCATGAACCAACATAGTACCCCAGTGTTCCTCTTCATCTGCCTTCACTATCCGAAACCTAGCGTGTGCGTACAACCAACGCGCTCGCATCTGGCGTCATATATGTCGAGGACTTCGGCTGTTATCTCCTCGGTCACTATTTGTAGGATTGATGGTATCCATCCGACTTCGCTGGCATACTATTGGTGTGAGTTTTCTAATCAAGATTCTATCTTCGCTATAAAAGAGAAAATGATATGCAGATTCTGACGCAATTGCTTACTTGAGAGACGTGATAAGCAAGTATTACGCTCAGATCGTTGGGTTGATGGGTTCGAATATAGTATGTTGACTTGGGGTCGTGATCGTTCGGTGTCATTGTGAATTGCTGGAGACATGCCAAAATTCACGAACATCATGTCAACTAGATTTGATTGCATGTACGGTTAATTTTATAGCACGGCGCGACTTATACTATAATTACTACGTCTGTATATGCGTATCTTCGTGGCTTGCGCATGGCTCATTGACGACTGGAAGGGTGCACTAATTTAATAATCTACAACTCTAAGTGTGAGAGTTCGCATCGGATATTCAAACGCCATGTCCGGAGTACTATATTGGCCTCGCTGCATTCGATTATAGCAAGCAACATACTCCGGGTATTACCTCACGAGAAATCCGTGCTACTAATAGTGAGTCTTCCCTTTTAACCAAAGAGTCAAGTCGGTTGTCATCATTTGTCGAGGTATTTCCTATGCGGCGCAACCCCTGCTCTCACCATAATCCCTCAGCCCTCATCTTCAGTTACGGTCGTACTATGGTAAATGTTACACGTGTAACCTCTGTGCCGGTTGAAGAATGCAGTTCGCCTTGCACTTCGGCCGTACGAAGGACCATTGCAGGCTGTTCATGACCTTCCAAGACATGCAGGCAATATTGGGTGATATTGGAAAGTGAGGTTATACAGACTTCGCTTCTTGAAACAGACCCTAGAGACCCAGGCGGTCTAGGCTGGCAGATCATTTGTATATAGAGTCATCTCAAGCCACCAACAGCCGAGAAGGAGTTGGTTGGTCAAGGACTACTGCAGCCCTAGTTGATCATTGTAATCAGAATCCTCAGTTCCAAGCCCAGTTCAACTGCCCTTGTTATAGTAAACACGAAAGATGAATAAATCAACCATGGTATAAAATCTATAGCTCCAACTATGCGTAACATAGATCAAACTTCAACTCATCGACACATTATGCTTTACAAAGCCGTCCATCTGCCATGACCTGTAATGCTTCACCACCCACGGCCGTACTTCCCCAGAACACGTTGTGCGGGTCGTATTTTCTCTTGATGGCCAACAGCTTCGCGTAATTTTTACCATAAAACGAGTGCTTCCAGTCCGCTTGGTCAAAGTTTGCTTCGTTGAGGTAAGCAGCTCTTTCTGGCACCAACTTGTCCAATGGTGGGCTCAGGACATCGTTTACCACACTTTGTGCTACAACGTTAGCAGTGTAGTTAGCTTGGTCGTAGTGTCTATCGCGTGTAAGGTTAGCGAGCTCTATCTGTTCCTGTAGGACACGAGGATTGTATCAACGTACAAGCCGTATAATGCGAAGAATATCGAGTCACGCCATGCGGGATGGACAGCGTTGGGGGAGGTCGGGGGCTTGCTGACGTTCATTGAGACTCCTGCGAAGGTAGCGAGGTTGTCCGTCATAGAGTGAATAGCGCTGACTAAGTCCGAGGCAGAATCATCAGTTGCCACTAGTGATCTAGGAATGATACGGCCTCCAAAATTGATGGCGCTTATATTCATGGTTGGATTGAGAGTGTTATAAGCGTCTTCGAAGGTTAGAAAGTCCATCTGATTAAAGGCTATAGCGTGTCATGTCAGTCACCCAACTTTGAGAATAGATACTATTAATATATTTGGAAATTCCCACATACCATACTGAATCATGTTATCTTCAAGGGCTTGCAGCGTCGGCTGCAGGAGCTGTGCGAACTCGGCAGCAGTGCCGTTGGGAAAATAGGTCTGCGGCATCAGGAACGTATTACCAGGAACGACCATCCAATACAGAGTGGCCCCAGCGTCAACAGCTGCTGGTAGGTTCATGATGAAGATCCGTAAGATCTCCCAGAAAGTGTCAGTAACTTCAGTGAAGCTCATTGTGACAGCCGAAGTTGGCATGTTCTTATGTAGCTTGACGGTCATAGAGAGCACGGCGCCGTACGTACCCCCGCCGCCACCTGAGAGTGCCCAGTACAGGTCTTGGTTTTGGGTCGGTGTTGCGGCCCGGAGCGTGCCGTCGGCCGTCACAACTTCCCATTCCAAGACTTGATCAGAGGCAAGACCAAACTTGGATGCGAGAGGGCTGGTGCCGCCACCTTGCGCGTAACCGCCAGCAATACCAACAGTTTCACAGTCGCCTTCAACAACGACATAGCCCTCAGCCGTCGCAGTTCGTTGGGCTTCACCCGCCACAACCCCGGCGCCAATCTTCATTGCTTTTCCGCGATAAGCCGGAGAGCTATAGTCAAAGATGTGTGTGCCCTTGATGTAGTGCGTCCAAAGGGCTAGAGCACCAGCACCTGTCGACTTGCCCATATAGTCGTGCCCCGTATTCCGTACGACAAGGCGGATGTTGTGTTCTTTCGCGAAAGCTATTGTCTTCTTATAGTCGGCCGCCCCGGATGCATTGACAGCATATGGCACATAGGTACCTATCTTGCAAGGGGCATCTCGGGCCGTGAAAGGGTCACAGCTCATGTTGGCGAAAATGGATGCCATGACAGAGTGCGCGGTCTTTTCATGCAGCTCGGGGCGAGGCCAGTTGGCTTGGATCTCCGCGCACTTCTCAGCGTCGTAGGCAACACCAGGGAAAGTATCGTGACAAGGACTGCCAATGGGTACCGTGGCTACTAGAGCCCCATGGACGGATTGATTTAATGCTGCCCAGTTGGCAGGGGATGGCCAGCAGTCATCGCCGGGGAAACACCGACACTGAGTGCCTGAGGATAGCGTGAGAGCTTGCCATGTTACAGCAGCTACAATAACCGCGGCGGACGTCCAGCCAACTATTTGGACACGGGTCTTGAAGAAAAATTTGTCAGCCATTGTGTAGATATGCGCTTTCTCTGGGGTTTTGGATCACGAAAAAGGGCATGTAAATCGAGCTCTCGCACGGAATCAGATTGTTCTATAATAAGTACGTGGTTGATGTGTGTGGCATTCGAATCTTATAGGTGTGGGTTAGCTTGAATGATAATACTGTTGGTTATCATGCATTGTTAGTTTTTTTTTTTTTCTCCCAACGAGTGACTCTGCACTAAGTACTTAGGTAGGTACGTAGTATTGAGTTCCATTCTTCTAATACTGTGCAAGTACCAGTACGACATCGTCGTCCAAGGCTGAAGCCTCCGATTCAATCGTTGGTAACTAAGTGTATGGGTGTCTTTCCCTAGACCCTCAAGCCCTTGGCGTTTTGGTTATCTTTTCTCTTTCTTCTATAAAAAGATAAAAGAGAGAAACGGCTTGCCATTACATTACAGTTATTATCTGTCCGTCCCCTTGAAGCCATGGATTCGGGGGGGGGGGGGGGGGGGGGGGGGGGGGGGGGGGGGGGGGGGGGGGGGGGGGGGGGGGGGCGGGG